GGAGGAACACCTTGAAACGCACAACTGAAAGACAATAATTCCCCCTTCCCAAGGCGCGACTGCCGCTACCGCGTTCCCGCCCGTTTTCGCGCCCGCCCACGTACCCCGCGGAATTGCACTGGAACCCCGTGGAATTCCGAAGAGTTCTAAGATTCCACGGAACTCCACGGAATCGTTCTAAAATTCTACGGAACTCCACGGAATCCAAAAAACAGTGGCTTCTAATGAATTCGTAATTTCATTTGAATTCCGTGGGGGCCTGCTAGGGCGCCTGCTGAAGGCGCCCGCGTAGGGCGCCCACGTAGGGCACTCACGCAGGGCGCTCACGTCAGGCGTTTGCTGGAGGCGCCCACTTCGAACGCCCACTGAGGGCGCTCACTGAAGGCGCCCACGTAGGGCGAGGCGCCCACGTAGGCGCTCACTGAAGGCGCCTGCCGAAGGAGCCAACTAGGGGCGCCCACTAGGGGCGCCCACGAAGGGCGCCCACGAAGGGCGCCCACGAAGGGCGCCCACTAAGGGCGCCCACTAAGGGCGACCACAAAGGGCGCCCACTAAGGGCGCCCACTAAGGGCGACCACTAAGGGCGCCCGCTAAGGGCGCCCGCCCACTAAGGGCGACCACTAAGGGCGACCACTAAGGGCGCCCACGAAGGGCGCCCACGAAGGGCGCCCAGTAAACAGCGCATACCAAGGGCGGCCACTGAACGCGCGCAGGAAGGCAAACCCTGGGAATGGATTCCCAGGGTTCTAGAGAAGCGATCCCAGTGGGATTGCTGTCTCTATTCACTGGGAACCGCTTCCAAGGAATTATAGAGTAGTGATCCCAGGTGTTGTGCCCTATAGGCCTGCCACGACATGCTCTTAGAACCAAAACAAGTACTAAGAACGGGAACGATGTTCTTAGAACACAAACCCGATGTGCTAACACCAGACGATCTCAGCGAGGAAGGTTCTAATAACATTTCGCGCATAAGTACCGCAAAAGGTTATTGCAACATTCTCTGGCGGGCCAAATAGGCAAGCCAGGACGCTTCGCCACTGCTCAAAGAAGGAACGCTAGGTCAGGAATTAAGGGGCCTGCCTGGCCACAGCGAGAAGACTCCCGCGCCCCTCCCGAGCCTACAGTGGTCCTTACCTCCACGCCTTCACTGTACTGCGGGGACAGCAGTCGACCTACACACACACACACACACACAACGGCCCGAACCCCCGAGCCCCTCCCGAGCCCAAAGTGGTCCTTATCTCCGCGCCTCGGGGCCTTGACTGTATTGCGGGGACAACCAGAACCACATCGAGGACACACCCTGGAGGGTGTCCTGCGCATGCCAAACATTGTCAGAACATCGAAACCAGCTTGGCACTGGTTGTGGTTGGTGTAGCGTCCCAGGACGGCCAAGTCGACCACAAACCACAACTAGACGCCTCCTAGATGGGGTCGGAGTAGATGGGGTCGGAAGATCGCGCCGCATCGCCAATGCATCGGCGATGTATCGGCGATGCATCGCCGACGTCGGCGGTGTCTCAGCGACGCCGGCGTGGAGAAAACCGGGCTCTGCATCGAGCCGCATCGCCGATGCATCGGCGATGCGGCGTGATCATCCGACCCCGTCTACTCTGACCCCATCCACGAGGCCTAGAATAACCAAAATGCCCATGCCGAGGTCAGTCGTTCTCCCATCCCGAAGAATGCACTTGCTTCTGGTTGTGGCTCTTTCTGTGCCTGGACGTACCCATCATCCCAAACCCTCGACGTCATGATTTTTTCATAACGTCGCCCCCCGAAGTCTCGACCCACTCACCAGGACCAGCTTTCCATCACGAGTCATGATATGACGGTCCCGAAGCCCGGCAAGGGCCCCCTAATGCCGAAAATGGCGCAACACCTCCCGTCAGGATTCTTGTCACTGCTCGCGGGGATCCGCGCCGGCCTCCTCCGCGGCCAGCCGCGCCGCCGTGCCGCTCGCGCCCAGGAGCGGCGGCCGCCATCGGCGCGCAATGGGCGCGCGGAGGCCGCGAGGGGGAGGCGGCCTGCGGACGGAGGCGCGCGAGCGGCACGGCCGCGCGGCGCGTGCCCAAAGCTCCCAAGAAAGGAGGCAGCGAGGGCTGCAAAAAAAATGCCCTTTCGGGCCCCTGGAGGGACTCTTTCGGGCCCAAGAGGGGGCCTCGAGGGCCCGAAAAGGGCACCTTGCCCCCCCCCCCCCAATTCAGCGCCCCCTCACTCGCCCCTTCGTTGATTCGCGCCCAGACCTTCACCCCAAGACCCACAAATCACGACGGAGGGTTTCCCTGATTTTCGGCTTTTCGGGGCCCTCGTGACCAGGCCCCAGGGCCGTCAACAAAAACAGCCCCCTGGGACGAAAAACGGGCCCCGGGGAATGGGTCGAGACCTCTGGGGGTCGACGTGATGGACAAAATTATCCCGGCAAAGCAACCTAACAACGATGTGTAGAAGCATAGATGGAAACATTGCCTGTGGTGTTAATGTAAGAGTGCTGTTGTAGGATTCTGGTGTTCTCGCAGTCGCATTCGGATTCGCAGCAGCAGTCGCAGTGGCAACATCAGCGGCAGTCGCACTGGCACTGCCAGTAGTTGCAGTAGCAATAACTACACTAGCAGCAGCAACAGCAGCAGCAGCAGCAGTAATAGTAACAGTAGTAGTAGCAGTAGAAATAGTAGTGATGGTAGTAGTGGTAACAGTGAAGTAGTAGTTGTAGTGTGTGTGTGGAGTGAACGAGTAGGAGTGATCGGAGCAGTGGTAGTAGCAGTAGAAACACTGCTTTCGATAACGGTATCTCCAAATGAGATCTTTGTATACATGCATTGAGGTCTAAACAAGACACTGGGACCGCTCAATGCAGCACGCTGAGGAGCAGCGCTGTTCCCTGCCGCAGGCTGAGGATCACCGCTGTTCAATGCAGCAGGGTCAGGAGCACCGCCGCCAGACCGAGAACCATCAGCATGTCCTGGCATTAAGGTGCGCAGTAGGCGCTGCGCAGTTCCTTTGAAAGGAAATCTTCGAAAGCAGGGCTGTGGCCAAGAAGGCTACGGAGACGATGATGATGATGAAAATGATGAGTCTTGGAAGTTCGGGAAGTGGAAGAGCACGAAGTGGCCTACAGTTGGCTCCGGGCATTCAAAATGTGGCCCGGGACTGGAGTTCTGGGAAGTGGAAGAGCACGAAGTGGCCTACAGTTGGCTCCGGGCATTCAAAATGTGGCCCGGGATTTGTGTTCTGGGAAGTCCAAGAGCACGAATTGGCCTACAGTTGGCTCCGGGCATTCAAAATGTGGCCCGGGAATGGAGTTCAGGGAAGTGGAAGAGCATGAAGTGGCCTACGGCTGGCTCCGGGCATCCAAAATGTGGCCCGGGAATGGAGTTCTGGGAAGTCGAAGAGCACGAACTGGCCTACAGTTGGCTCCGGGCATCCAAAATGTGGCCCGGGAATGGAGTTCTGGGAGGTCGAAGAGCACGAAGTGTGTGAATGTTTTGTTAAAACGAGCCCGGCCCTGAGCCCGGCCCTCGCTGTCCGGATGCCGCCCAGACCTCCCTTCTGAGTCATCAGATGCTCTCTTTTGACACCACTAGAAACCTATCAGTCTTCGCTGTTAGGTAATCATGGCGTCGGGATCGCCGATGCATTGACGATACCCCAGCGATGAACTGGCGATGTCGGCGATGCGTCGGCGCCGTTGGCGTGGATAAACTCGGGCTCCGCATCGAGCCGCATCGCCGATGCATCGGCGATGCGGCGTAACCCTCGGACCCCATCTACACCGACCGCATTTGGGAGGCTGGACCAACGTACCCAGACATCCGGCGTCTCGAAAAAATATGGACGGATGTGTTTCATCGTTCTCGGCTTCTCTGGGCCCCTGCCGGGCCTCGGGGCCCGTCAAACAACGACCCGGGATGCGAAACCAGGCGTGTCTGGGTATGACTAACATCACAGCGTGTTTCGTCACTTCCTGCCCTGGGGGGCCCTCGCTGGGCCACCGAACCGTGCCAAAACGACTCAGGAGCAAAGGCCCGCCCCAGAGGAAGGGTCAGGACTTCTGCGGACCCCATGCTGCCCAGACCTCCGACGGTTGGGCGCGAATTAACCGCCTGCTGCTGATAAATTATCCCGGCAAAGCAACCTAACAGCGATGTGTAGGAGCATATCTGGAAGCGTTCCCCTTAAGATTCGGATGAGAATCCAGTTGTAGAATTCTGCTGTTCTCGCAGTCGTAGTCGCATTCGCGATGACAGTCGCAGTGGCAACGGCAGCAGCCTCAGCCTCAGCCTCAGCCTGCCTCAGCCTCAGCCTGCATCAGCCTCAGCCTCAGCCTCAGCCTGCCTCAGCATCAGCCTGCCTCAGCCTCAGCCTCAGCCTGCCTCAGCCTCAGCCTCCTGCTTCAGCCTCAGCCTCAGTCTGCCTTCAGCCTCGGCCTCAGCCTCAGCCTGCCTCAGCCTCAGCCTGCCTCAGCCTCAGCCAGCCTCAGCCTGCCTCAGCATCAGCCTGCCTCAGCCTCAGCCTCAGCCTGCCTCAGCCTCAGCCTCAGCCTGCTTCAGCCTCAGCCTCAGTCTGCCTTCAGCCTCGGCCTCAGCCTCAGCCTGCCTCAGCCTCAGCCTGCAGCCTCAGCCTCAGCCTCAGCCTGCCTCAGCCTGCCTCAGCCTCAGCCTCAGCCTGCCTGCTTCAGCCTCAGCCTCAGTCTGCCTTCAGCCTCGGCCTCAGCCTCAGCCTGCCTCAGCCTCAGCCATCAGCCTCAGCCTCAGCCTCAGCCTGCTTCAGCCTCAGCCTCAGTCTGCCTTCAGCCTCGGCCTCAGCCTCAGCCTGCCTCAGCCTCAGCCTGCCTCAGCCTCAGCCTCAGCCTGCCTCAGCCTCAGCCTCAGCCTGCCTCTGCCTCAGCCTCAGCTTCAGCCTCAGCCTCTGCCTTCAGCCTCGGCCTCAGCCTCAGCCTGCCTCAGCCTCAGCCTGCATCAGCCTCAGCCTCAGCCTCAGCCTGCCTCAGCCATCAGCCAGCCTCAGCATCAGCCAGCCTCAGCCTCAGCCTCAGCCTGCCTCAGCCTCAGCCTCAGCCTGCTTCAGCCTCAGCCTCAGTCTGCCTTCAGCCTCCTCAGCCTCAGCCTCAGCCTCAGCCTCAGCCTCAGGCCTCAGCCTCAGCCTCAGCCTCAGCCTGCCTCAGCATCAGCCTGCCTCAGCCTCAGCCTCAGCCTGCCTCAGCCTCAGCCTCAGCCTGCTTCAGCCTCAGCCTCAGTCTGCCTTCAGCCTCGGCCTCCGCCTCAGCCTGCCTCAGCCTCAGCCTGCATCAGCCTCAGCCTCAGCCTCAGCCTGCCTCAGCTCCTCAGCCTCAGCATCAGCCTCAGCCTCAGCCTCAGCCTCAGCCTGCCTCAGCCTCAGCCTCAGCCTGCTTCAGCCTCAGCCTCAGTCTGCCTTCAGCCTCGGCCTCAGCCTCAGCCTGCCTCATCACAGCCTGCCTCAGCCTCAGCATCAGCCTGCCTCAGCCTCAGCCTCAGCCTCAGCCTGCCTCAGCCTCAGCCTCAGCCTTCAGCCTGCCTCAGCTCAGCCTCAGCCTCAGCCTCAGGCCTCAGCCTCAGCCTCAGCCTCAGCCTGCCTCAGCATTCAAACTGTGGCCCGGGAATGGAATTCTGGGAACTCGAAGAACACGAAGTGGCCAGTTGGTTCCGGGCATTCAAAATCATGCCCAGGAATGGAGTTCTGGGAACTCGAAGACCACGAAGTGGCCTACAGTTGGCTCCGGGCATTCAAAATGCGGCCCGGGAATGGAGTTCTGGGAACTCGAAGAGCACGAAGTGGCCTACAGTTGGCTCCGGGCATCCAAAATGTGGCCCGGGAATGGAGTTCTGGGAAGTCGAAGAGCACGAAGTGGCCTACAGTTGGCTCCGGGCATCCAAAATGTGGCCCGGGAATGGAGTTCTGGGAAGTCGAAGAGCACGAAGTGGCCTACAGTTGGCTCCGGGCATTCAAAATGTGGCCCGGGAATGGAGTTCTGGGAGGTCGAAGAGCACGACATGTGTGACTGTTTGCTTAAAACGAGCCCGGCCCTGAGCCCGGCCCTCGCTGTCCGGATGCCGCCCAGACCTCCCTTCTGAGTCATCAGATGCCCTCTTTTGACACCACTAGATACCTATCAGTCTTCGCTGTTAGGTAAAGAGGACCCCCCCTTAACACGCTAGAGTTGATTATCCACGGCCAATAAGAGTTTGGTCAGGGGCGCGGGGCGCGGAGGCCGAACTTGTTTATCACTGTGAAAAGTTCACCATCGAGGTTAACTTCCTTCTTATGTTGAGATGGCATCATCAAGCAAAGCGAAGACGTGTTCGAGGATGTCTCAAGCGAAACCAACAATCTTTGGAGGCAGCCTCAAGCGAAACGATCCATTTTTCAAGGATGTCTCAAGCGGAACCAACAATTATTCGAGGATGTCTCAAGCGAAGCGAGAGACTTGTCGATGAGAGGCTTCCTCCTCCTCCTCCTCCTCCTCCTCCTCCTCCTCCTCCTCTCTCGCTTTCTTGTTCTCTCTGTCTCTATCTCTATCTCTATATATCTCTCTCTCTCTCCCTCTTTGTCTCTGTCTGTCTCTCTCTCTCTCTGTCTTTCTCCTTCTCCCCCTGGCCCCCTGAACTTTTTTTTATCGCTGTGATTTACTATCCACGGAAACCGAGGCACATGAGGCACCCTACACGTGCAGATGAAAATCTTAATTCCCATTGTTTGTTTACAAATTAAAGTTAATAGGTTTGGATATTTGGCTTTTCTCCTCCTCCTCCTCCTCCTCCTCCTCCTCTCTCTCTCCTTCTGGCTGTCTATCTTTCTCTACTTCTCTCTCTCTCTGTCGAACTATCTATATATATATATATATATATATATATATATATATATATATTTGTCTCTGCCTCTATCTGTCTTCCTCCTTCTCCCCCTGGCACCCTGAACTGTTTTATCGCTGTGGTTTACTATCCACGAAAACCGAGACACGTGAGCTACCCTACACGAGCAAATTAAAATCTTACTTCCCATTGTTTACACAATTGTTTTTAACAGGTTTGGAACTTTGGCGTTTCTCCTCCTCCTCCTCCTCGTCCTCCTCCTCACTCTCCCTCCTTCTGTCTGTCTATATTTCTCTACTTATCTCTCTCTCTCTAACTATCTGTATCTTTCTGTCTCTGTCTCTCTCGCCGCCGTCGGTCCTCGGACCTCGATCCTCGACTCTGGGATCTCGATCCTCGATCCTCGGACTTCGCTTCTCGATCCTCGATCCTCAGCTTTCGGTCCTCTTAACATCATCTCTTTCTCCTCCCACATGCTGGCCTCCGCTAGGCAACATTTATAATCCCCCCGCAACCCCGAATGTTATTATCCCTGTGGCATTAATCTCGGGGGCACTCGGTTAATGGGGGGCGATGAGTGGGGGGGGGGGGGGCAGCGAGGGCTGCAACAAAAACCATTTCGGGTCCCTGAAGGGGCCCGTTCGGGCCCAGAGACAGCCTTTACTGCCCGAAAACAGCACCTTTCTCACCCTCTCATTTGTCGCCCATCCTTTAATTCGCGCCCAAGGCGATCGGCTTGTTCCAGTCCCGGCTGTTTTCTCCTCGTCGGGCCCGTCGGGCCCTCGGGGGCCGCTTCTGGGCCCCAATCCCCCACGAAAACGTCATCCCGGACGTAAAGCTATGACCTCTGTGCCTGCAGTCTGGGGGCGGGTACCTGAAGTCCAGAGCGGGCACTTGTAGTCTGGATGGGGGGTACAGCAGCAGTCCGTGACAGCAGGCCACCCTGACTCGGGAGTGGTGCTAGAAAAGAGCTCCAAGGCGCGCTGGGCACCAAGCTACCGAGCGGGCAAAAGAGCATTCAGAGAAGGCGCTGTCTGCCCTCGCCCTGTCTTAAAGCCTTGCGTGGGGCACACAACCCGCGGAGGCGGTCGGGCCGCGGAGAGGGCCGCCCTCTCGGAGGAGGGCCGGTTGAGACGGCGGCGGCTCTCCCGGCCGTGACGAGATGAGCCCAAAAGAATCGACGGAGGCGAGCCAACTTCAAGACAATCGTCGAGACCGCCGTCGACGACCGGCCCTCCTCGGACTCCCAGGCCTCCAAGAGCCCCCCGAGGGCCCCCCGTGGGCCCTCCCGAGCAGCCCGAGGGCACTCCTGAGGCCCTCCGATAGCCTCCCCCCGAGATCCGACAAATCACAACATCCTAAAACATACGAGCGCAACTATATAACATTACAGTTAACTGAGAAGCGACGCAACATGCCACTGGAGCTCTAGACCCAATCTTCCTGCGGCATGTTCCGCGCTGGATCGATTTGTGATGGTCCTGGGGCCCGAATCTAAGCGAAAACGCCCGGTATGAAAACCCCGGGTCCCAAAGTCCGAGGGCAACCATGACTCCGGTTCCGCCGTACTTTGGTTAATTTTCCTACTTCAATATTTGCTCGGAAATGCACCCCAAACGGTGCGAAAAGACGTGGCGCAAATTTCTGGCGCAGAGAAAAAGGGCGAATACGTTCGCAAACAGACGGCAGAAACAGCGACAGCAAAGTAAGGCGGAAATCGGCATCAGAAGAGCTGGAACAATAGGCCGGCAATTGTCCACCGTATTTGCAGCAGCAGAGGCCTAGTCAAACCTAAAGGTTGTCCCGTGAGCAGGCGGGGCACGTTTCTGAAAAATGAAAGCAGTGCGACCTGCATGCATGATGTGAAGGACGTGGACGACGAATGAGCAGGCTTTGTGCCACTGCGGGAGGGAAGGGAAGGGGGGGCGAGAGGAAGAGGGGGATGAGGGAGAACAACTGCCCGTCCTTACGTCCGCAAGCTGATATAGCCCTGCTTGGGACACCGCCAAAGAAACAATCAAGAGGGACCGGAGCAGGGGGAGGGCGGGGCCCCACCGGGAGCCCCCCGCGAGAGCCCCGAGGGCCCTCCGATGTGGGCGCCCGAAATCGGCACAGTCGGACTTAGCAAGCCAGGAGAACATCCCTCAAATCGGGGATCTCTTGGCCCGGGTCAGTGCAGACCCGGGTCAGTCAGGCCGCGCAGGATCCTACAGGATCCTGCACCCAAGCCCGGGTCAGTGCATCCCTGGCCCTGCAGGATCCTGCAGGATCCGGCGCTCTGACTGACCCCAATTTACATTGACCCCCGTCTTTTGAGCCCAAATGACGAACATGAGACCCTCCGCAGGTCAAAACAAGCAGAACATCTAAGGGTACCCTCCCCAGGATGCATACGAGCGTCCAACAAACACGAAGAACACCAAAATACCCTCCCCGAACCGACCTCGACCTTATACCTCGGTCCGACTGGACGGAAAGAATCGGCAAGAGGCCCAACGACAAATGCCATGTAAAACAGGCAGCGGCCGCTGCCAGGCAAGCGGCCTCCTGCCTCACAAACCCAGACCCCCGACGTCGTGATTTTTGTCACAGCGTCGACCCCCAAAAAAATGGACCGTCTGGACCCCTTCCCCAGGACCGGTTTTTCATCCTGGGTCGTTGTTTGACGGTCCCGAGGCCTGGTAAGGGCCCCTGAAGGCCGAGAATAGCGAAAAACCACACAAGGCGAGGGGGTCTGGGAATGGACAACGTCCGCGGCGACGCCGACTGCGAGTCCTGCTCGGAATGACCACGCAATGCAATCGGTCTTCGTACCCCCTCTTTTCAATACCCGTTTCGAACGTCCCGACCCGAGGACCCCGAGGGCAAGGCGCCCAGGGATACCCAAATAAATAAACACAAATCCAGCACTCCAAATATTTCCAGAAGATCCTGGATTCTCGTCTCCCCCTCCACTTCCAATACGTTCCCACACCTTGTCGTGGGAATCGACGAATACTTTTGTCAATGTGTGTCTCCTCTCACTCCTGATTTGTGCCCCTCCTTTCCGTACGCATTTCGACCGTCTCGGGCGCGGCCGAACCGACCCCCAGCAAACCATCCCCTTCCGTGACGCCACCCTCGCCCCTCGAGCTCCCCCTCCGGGCGAGGCGAGGAGGCCGTCAGGGAAGGGGCTGGCTTGCTGGGGGTCGGCCAGGCCGCCCCTGCATCGCCCCCGCGCGCCGCCGGGAGCCCCCCGGGAGCGGCGGCGGCCCGCGCGCCTCCTGCCAGCGGTGCCGCTCGTGCAGGACCTCCGCTCGGGGCCCGCGGCGCGGCGCGGCGCCGCGCGCGGTCTGCGCGGCGGGCGCCCCGAGCCGGCCCGGCCAGCGCGCCGTCGGTGGCAACTCGGTGGCAACTCGAGGGGGGGGGAGAGGGGGGAGGGGGAGGAGGAGGGGGAGGAAGAGGAGGAGGAGGAGGAGGAGGAGGAGGAGAGGAGGGAAGAGGAGGAGGAGGAAGAGGAGGAGGAGGAGGAGGAGGAGGAGGAGTTTGGGGTCTTCTGGCACCGATCCCTTGACGACGGGGGACGTCTGTGCCCCCCGCCGCCCTGCCAGACCTCCGACGCGTGGCGCGCCTCGGTGGGCTCTTGCCAGTCGACGCCAGTCGACGCTCTGTCGGAGCCATCTCGCCGAGTGCCAGACGCTAGTCGACGCCAGCCGACGCCGATGCACTCCAAAGACGGATTTACGAGGACCAACGAACAATACACACCCAAACCTATACGAAGGGAGGAGGAATGGGAAAGGCAAGGCGATGAACACGCTGTTGGAGTGGGTGCGAGTTGCTGGACCCCGAGGGGGGGTCCAGTTCGAGCGGAGACTCCCATCCGACAACACGCACCCATAGCCCCCCCCAGAATTCCACCCCAGGAATTCTAAAGGCCGTATAGGTATGGGTGTTAGTTGTCAGCTCGTGATACGAGGGTATACGAGGTTCTAGCCGTGCACAAGGAACGCGCATCGCAAATTGCCTATGTGCCACTGCGGAATGCAAGGGCGATTCGTCGGGCGCTCATTGGTCGTCTTGGACGCCTCCTGGGCTGTCTTGGGGATCTTTGGGCGATCGGGGGGATGCCTCTGAGGCCGTCGTGAGCTGCTGAGAGACCGGAGAGGCGAGAACGCCGAAACAAACGAAAATCATACAACATGGCATCACTTGGCCTTCTTGGCGGCCCTCTTGGGACCTCTTGGGGCTCGTTTGGGGCCCTCGATGACCGTCCTGGAGCGCTCTTGGGCAGTCTTGGGAGGCCGGGGCCGTCTCGGGGCGTTCCTGGGGCTCTATGGTGGCCCTCCTGTGGCTTTCTCGGGGCTCTCTTGGGAGCCTTGTGGGCCTCTTTGAGGCCGCTCTTGGGCCGTCATTGGGCTCTCTCGGGCCGTCTTGGGGCCCTCTTGGGGGCCTCCTGGGCCGTCTTGGACCGACTTTGGGGGCTTCGTGGGCCACCTTGGACGCTCTCGAAACCAAACAAGCGGTGATGCTAAAATTGCACGTTTTCCGAAGGGAATGGGACGATTTTTGCTTCGTGGTCGTCCTCGTGGTAGCCTCTTGGGCTGTCTTGAGGCCACCGTATAAGCGGACTCCGAGCGCTCTTGGGGCGCTATGGGGTCGTCTTGGAAGCCTCTTAGGCCGCCTGGAGGCGATCGTGGATGCTCTTGGAACGCTCCCGGGGGTGGAACCGCCCCGCAAAAAACCGAAAACAGGACCCGGGCCCCGGGGCCCAAATTGGGTTACCCAGGGGCTGGCCCCATTTATCATTGTGTCCCGGGCGCGGCCGGGGGGCCCAACACTCCGATATATATATATATATATATATATATATATATATATATATATATAGCCCGCCTCCACTCCCGAGGGCCAGCTCTTGAACGGCCTGGCACGATGGAGGTACGGGGGCGACGGAGTGGCGATAGCCATCCGAAACACAGAGCGCTCCCCGGACGTTTTCACAAACGAGCAAGGCCTATCTGTGTGGGTCGGAGCCAGGCAGACGCACGTGACCCATGTTGGGCCGGGCGTCGACACACGAGCGTACAGACAGAAACAGCGAACAGGACCCACTGACTCCCCTCATATGGGGGCATCAAAGGCACGGAAAAAGTTTCTTTGACAGGGTGGCACGCGGGCGGGTGCACTTTGAGCCACAATGCCGATGGCGTAGCATCGGCATGGCAACTCCCTGACGAGTCAGTGCGGCCCCTCTCGCATTTCCCCTGCGCAGATCGTTGTTAAAACCACGCAGCCCGCCTCCACTCCCGAGGGCCAGCTCTTGAACGGCCTGGCACGATGGAGGTACGGGGGCGACGGAGTGGCGATAGCCATCCGAAACACAGAGCGCTCCCCGGACGTTTTCACAAACGAGCAAGGCCTATCTGTGTGGGTCGGAGCCAGGCAGACGCACGTGACCCATGTTGGGCCGGGCGTCGACACACGAGCGTACAGACAGAAACAGCGAACAGGACCCACTGACTCCCAAATCCCGACGGAGAGAAACCTGGCCGGCAGGCCGTCATAAATAGTAAGTATACGATGCAGGAGACTATCTCGTTATGATGTTTACGAGATGCTTGTGAGACTGGACTTGCATAGAGTGTTCAATGAGCTTAGCAATTTCACGACAAAAAAAAGAGGGTAGGCAGCCGCCTGCGCCGTGAGGGGCACGCCGCCGGCGTGGCCGGTGAGGATCACGTGAGGTCTGTTCGAACGAGAGTACATCCCTCGCCTGCCAGCGCAGCGCCGCTGAAGGCGGGACAGGTCGACGGCGTTCCAGGCCGCCACCGACGTCCGCTTACGCCAGGGGGCGCCGTACTGACAGCTGTCGAAAGTCAGCAGCTGGCAAGAGGGATGCTGAAGCAATCGTTGCAGGCGTCGCGCTTTCCATATCAGCGAGCCCGCCGGGTTCTCAATGAACACTGGGATACGCAGCTCCAGACAAAGCTCGATCACATCACAAGAAAAGTGGAAAGTTCGGTTCCCCATGCGAACTTTGGCGGTCTCTTGAGGCAAGAGGTCAGCACGCCCCATCGGCCGCGCCCGTGTCCGCAGCGGCTGTCGTAGCGCTTGTGTCCAGGAAGTGCAAGGGGTGCCCAACCATGCAGACGGCGGCCGCGACCCGGCCTGCCAGCCAGCCCTTCACGACAGCACGGAACTCGCGGCTGAGGTGGTCCTCGGCTGGACCCCGCCACAGGTCCAAATCCAGCGCAGGCAGCCCACGCCGCCTGACCGCCTCGGTGAGGTGTGACGAGCCAGCAAAGAGCTCCAGCACCACGCGCCGCGTCCGCTGCGAGCGCAAGGCGCGCCGCAGGCGCCGTTTGAGATGCCGGCTGCACACCCCGTCCTCGGCGCTGCTGGGCCCCGCTGCTGGTCGCTGAGGTGGGCCCGGGGCGGTGACGCCCGAAGCCCCGGTCAGCGGCGGGCGGCAGGCCGCCTGCGGCCTAGCCGGCCTGACGCCGCAGCCACTGGGCCCAGCGTCGGCAGCACAGTCGCCGGCACCTGGCCGTACAGGTTCATCCTGCTGAAACCGTGCTCGAGGAGAGAGCTGAGGTTCGCCTCGACGAGGGCCCCGAAGGCGAAGACATCCGCGTTCACCCGCGCCATCTCGTCCAGCAGGGAGCCCTCCTTGCCGTAGCGCCGCATCGACGACGCCACTGCCCACCTGCCTCGACGCTGCACCTCGAGCGGGCTGCGGCGGCCCGTCAGGAGGTCGTCTGAGGCCCCCCCATGGCGGAGGCTGTAGAGGTGGGGCCTCATGCAGCGACGACAGCTTCAGAGCCTGGCACGCACTGCTGAACTGCGCAGTGAGTTCGTCCAGCGAGAAGCTCCACAGGCTGGCCCCGGGCGGCGTCGCCAGCCGCATCGCCGCCAGCACCGGCCACAGAGGGGCCTGGTCGATCAGCACGCTGTCGTCGTAGTGCCCGGTCTTCCCCGCCACTCCGCGCTCCAGCGGATGCATCAGCAGTGCCCAGCACGAGTACCCCGCGCCGGCCGCCGGGGCCGGCGGCACCAGGCTCTCGCGCGTCAGGCCCTGCGCCTCGGCCGGCCGCAGGTAGGCTGCGACGGCCAGGACCACCCAGCACGCCACCCCAAGCTGCCCGTGGCTGATCAGCCAGCCCGCGATCGCATAGACGGCAGGGCGCGGCAGCGGCAGCCGGGTCTTGCCCGGCGCGCGGCGCTTCCAGGCGGCCGAGGCCCTCGAGGCCCGGGGGAGCACGGATACCGTCTGCTTGAACAGCGAGGGCGTGACGCGCGCGATGGCCGCCAGCGTCTGGCTCCCGATGTTGCACGCCGTCCCCAGCAAGTAGTGGTCCGAGAAGTAGCTCGACAGCACCAGGTCGAGCTCCTCGTACGTCCTCCAGTCCTGGCGGTGCTGCTGGCACCACTGCGCGAAGTTGTTCAGCATCTGCAGGTAGCTCCGCTCGGTGTTCGCGCGGATGGCCAGCGTCTCCAGAAGCGTCAGCCCCGCCAGCAGCGGCCGCGAGCTCCGCGCCTGCTGAGCCAGCTTCTGCCGCTGCGCAACGGCGGCCCCCGCGCTTGGCACGCGTGACTTCCGAGCCGCGTCGGCGCCCACGGGGCCCACAGTGGCGACCACCGCGACGGCCAGAAGGAGCGCCACCCGCGGGCCCGCGCAGCACGCGCCGCCCGCTGAACCGGCCATACCGCCCGCGGCTGACTGGGTCCGATGCGTTCCGTTCGGAGGCGACCCACCTGACGTACAGCTTCGAGCCGGTGGCGACTGACAGAGCACATACCCGTCCGAGGCACCGACGGAGGTGTTTGCTTTTGGCCCGACCCTTCACGACCCCAAGAGCAAGCGGCAGATTGTCGACTATGATCATCACCCTTTGCCCTAGGCTGCTCGAGTCCCGCAAGAGATGACGGTAGGCCAAGCAGAGGCCTTCACCCTCCAAGAACAGGATGTTGGCCCCGCCTGAGACCTGGACGGCCGCGGATGGCCGCCATGCTGGCGAGTCGGTGATGTCTGCTGGGACCTCCTCGAACCTCACCGCGAAGCCCTCCGGGCCCTCCGAGACCTCCTCGGGCGCCTCGGCGAGCGCCCTGCCAGAGTCCAGAATGGGGTCCGCGAGGGGCGCCACAATATAGTTCGGGAAGGGCTCCACGTGCTTGAGCGGGGTCTCGGCGGCATCAGGGTCAGCGTCAGCAGCACGATATCCGTTTTTGGTGGCAGCCATCTTTTCCGACGCAGATCCGCAAGCAAGGGACCGCTCGCGAGCTGCCTGCGCCCTGGCGACTTTGAACCGCCAGCGCTCTGAAAACCGGGCGCAGCTGGCGACGACCGTGGCCTCCAGCCGCTGGCGCGCAACACCGAGCCCTCCTGGCGCGGTATCGCTGCAGGCGATAGTGTTGTACCAGCCGGCGGTCAGGTCCGCCTGCAGGATCGGCAACAGGTTGCGAACCGCGATCAGCTCCCGCGCCGCCGAGTCCCACAGGCGGCCAGGGCGGCCCTCGAACACCTCGACGAACGCGTAGCAGGCGTGCAGGGTCGTCAGGGCCTCGCGCCGCAGCATGCTCATCCAGGTGATGTGCCCAAGGACGGCCCGCAGCGCGTAGCCAGTGACCCACTTCCGCCGCAAGAGGCTACCAAGCGCGGCCCGCAGCCGCCAGACGTTCTTGGCCTTCACGGTGAGCGCCTTCCCGGCGTGCAGCTGCAGCCCCAAGAACTGGGCGTCGGCCGACGCCTCGACAATCTCGTGAACCACGTGCCCGGCGTCCTCAAAGCGCCGCACGAGGGAATGCATCAACGAGTTTGCCACCTCTGCGCTGGTGCCGATGGTGACCACGTTGTCGACGTACGCGCCAGCTGCGACCAGACGCGACGGCCCGAGGGCGATGCCGACCTGACCGTCCACGACGATGCTGGACGGGTCGACGCCGCTCCGCAGCAGGCAGGCTGCGGCCACATCTTGGCACATGAAGGGCCCAGCTGAACCCCATCGGCAGCACCGACACGCGAGCTGCCACCATCACTCCCGGCCCGAAAGGCAAGTCGTCGAGCCCGGCCTCCAGCAAGAAGGTGGAGTCGATGGCGGGCAGCGAGAAGTACTCTTCCATGCCGCTGGGCAGCTTCATGTGGTAGAACGCGCACTCCAAGTCCGCCGTCGCCACGAAAACCCCCGACGCGGGGGCCTCCACTGCGCTCCAGGCAGCAGCGGTCGGCAATCTGGTCTTCGGAGGCGCCTTCAAAAAACAATTTGCGATACGCGTGTCAAAGATGACGCGTTGCGCCCCGCTCTTCTTCGGGACGAAGAACGCGCCGACAGTTCCCTTGGCGTCCACGGCGGCGGAGAAGTGAACCATCCCCTTGCCGTAGAGCTTGCCCAAGAACTCAGCATAGGTCCGCGGGTCGCCGACTAGCCCCTGGTCGCAGTACGCCCCCCTCGGGCACGCCGTGGCCATGAGCTCTTCTGCCTCCCTCGGTGGTCTCAGCATTTGGCTCCGCCAGTCCCGCAGGCGCGCCGCCTCCGAGGGCCCCAGGATGGTGGACAGCTCCACTGGTGGCGTGCTCGAAGATGGCCATGAGATCTGCTCTCGGCGGTACGGAACTGACGGGTTGCAGGCGCCGTCTCCATAGATGGCGACGCCCTGGAGGAGCTCCGAGAGGGCTCCGTCCTCGCACTCACGCGCCTCCGCATACTGCTCGTGCTGACGACCAAGCCGATGTAGAGCGGTGTTCATGTTCTGGATGGCTGTCCGCTGGCTCTCGTTGACTGGGTCGCCGACAACACTTTGACAACCATAAAGCGAATTCAGTGAAGAAATTGCAGCGTTCAGCCGATGCAGGTGGTGACGGCGAACGGCGCGACGACGTAGCGGGCGGCGACTGAGCGTGGGCTTGCCGTACTCGCTGCCACCGCCCACAAGTGGCATCGGGAACAGGTCACGCTGTCTCCCTGCCTCGGGCGGCCAAGAGGCGGCCGCCTGGCCGGTGGGTGGTGCCCTTGCTGCGAGCAGCCTGCCGGTCCCCCAGGCTGCCACATTCATCGCCGATCATTCCCCCGCGGCGGCCGCATCGCCACGGCCGCCGCCTTTGCCTCCCTTCTTCTTCTTCTTGCCGCGGCCGCCTCCTCCAGCTCCAGACCCAGCAGCGCCGCCGCCGGCGAGGGCCCGCTCCTCACGAGCCTTCCTCCTCTCCTTGGCGATAGACGCCTCCTTCTGCAGCTGGGCGGAGACGTGGTCCCGCAAGGCCGGGCACGCACACACGTGCCCACGCCCGCGGGTCATCCCGATCATCAGGTTGTGGTTCAGGTCAGCATCCTCCGAGCTCTCGAAACGATGCCTGTAGCGCTCGTTCTCAGTCTGGATAGACCGCGCGACCAGCTCCATCGAGGCCAGGTTCGAGCCGTGAAGCTGGTCGTAGCAGAGCCCGATCTCAAGCAAACGGCACATCATCTCGTGGTTGCCAACGCCAGGCTCGTCATCGTCCAGGTTCCCGTCCGCGCGGATTCTGGCGCCAGGCGAGCGGCGCCCCGGCGACCCTCAAGATGAAGAGCACCACCCACAACAACGTGCGTGGCCCATCAATAGGCCAGTCCGCGAAAGGCACCTCCACCAGCAGACGCGCAGCCTCTGAGAAGGGCCGATGACGCTGCCCACGAATGTCGGTCTGCACCGCCATGATCCTGAGGTCGCCGCCGGGAGCCTCCGCGGCTGCGCCCATGAAAGGCGCGCCTGCAGGCGCTGCAGCCGCCGGGGCCACATGCGCGGCGACTGGCGGCGCCGCGGGTGCTGCCGCCGCCGGGGCGCCAGGCTGTGGGGCGGCGCCCACCGGCGCGCCGCCGGCAGGCGGGCCCACGAGGGCGGCCGGCGCGGCCACCAGGGCCCCACCGCCGGGGGCCGCGGCGGCGCCAATGCCGCCGCCAGCGAGGGCCGCAGCCAGCCCGGCCACACCTCCTGCGGCGCCCGCGCCGCCGGCCGCGGCCGCGGCTCCTCCTGCGGCGTCAGCGGCCACCGGCACGATCGCCCGCCCGACGGTGTTGGGCACGACCGCCGGCTGCACCCCGAGCCCGAGCATCGCGGCGGTGTCCTGCGCCCCCTGCGCGACCACCGGGCCGAGCGGGGTCGCGTTGAAGCGGTAGGTGGCATCGCCTCCGAGGGCAGCTGCTCCGCCACCGGCCGCGCCCCTGTCACACACGAGGCACTCTGCGCTGTCGGCGCCACCGATCACGATCTCCACGTACGCGCCCCCATCGGGCGTGAGGATCCCCACGCCCCACGGGGGCGCCGACGCGAGGCACGGGACGAGCCTCTCGTGCCACAGCCGGCGCCCGGCGACGTTGTAGCGGATGAGGATGAAATCCCCGGGCTGCGCCCCCATCCGCTCCAGCGGATGTGTCGGCGCTGCCATCATTGCGCGCTGGAGCCTGTCCTCCGAGCCCGCGCTGCAGCCGCCTGCTCACGGGCCTCGTCCTCAATCGAGAGGGCCGCCTGCGGCACCTTGCCCGCCGCCGCCGGCGCCAGCGTTGGCGCCCCGGCCACGCGCAGGCCGCTGGCCGCCCAGGCGCCCCCCGCAGCCCCGACGGCGAGGCCGACGATCAGCGCGGCCACCGCGTAGGCCGCGATGAGGCCAGCGCACGACGGCTCGGGCACCTGCCCGCCAGCGCCTGCGCAGACGCAGGAGGGGATGGCAGGGCGGGCAAGCTGAGGCGCGCAGGCGCCACAACTCGGGGCCGCCGCGCGCGCGACCGCGGAGGCGCCGATGGCCTGCGCCCCGTACTGCAGGACCCCTGACAGGAAGGCGGCGAGATCCTGCATCGAATACGCCTCATGCACTTTGAGCCACAATGCCGATGGCGTAGCATCGGCATGGCAACTCCCTGACGAGTCAGTGCGGCCCCTCTCGCATCTCCCCTACGCAGATCGTTGTTAAAACCACGCGTATATATATATAGAACTATAAACATATACATGACTGCATTGGCGCTTCGCGCCATGCGCCTTGTTCCGGACGCTTCCCTGGCAAAGCAGTGAATCATCGCTTGCTTCAGCAGGGAGGACCTCAAGGCATGGACGGGCGACCCGCCCATTTTTCCGGTATCCCTGGTGCCTGCTGACACCGCGTTCGGACGATGCGCTTGCACGCTTGTGCGCAGGAATGGGGGGAATAATATTGGTTTTTCACGCTCGAAGGTCCTTTGCGGAAGTAACCTCCAGCAGCCCCAGGAGGGCCGCCGCCAAGGCCACGCTCGTGCTCCGCCATCTTCGCGGCTCGGAACCTGGGCCAGCTGGGCGACCGTCGGCACCGCGGCGAAGTCATACCGTCGCAGGCCAGCAGGTATAACGGCACCCAGCGGTGCTGCAGCAGGGCCCCACTCCTTCCACCACTTGCGGATGTCCGCATTCCCAGGGTCGTACTCCCCGACGTACCCATCAAAGCCGGGCGCGAGTACGGCGTAGTGCTCGAGCCCGCGAGAGGAGAGCGCAACCACGATGCGCTTGTGCGCGAGCCGTGCTCCAGGTTCGTCGTGCTCGACCCAGATCTCATCGCCCACCGCGATCATGAGAAGCGGCCCAGCCCGCCGATCCGCTGCCCGCGCCGATCAGGCGAATCCACTCGCACAGGCTGTTGTGCGGTCGCGGGGACGCCGCCCTCCAGGGCGGGCCGCCTGGCGCGGCCCTCGCAGGGGAGTCGGGCCGCCGCCGCCGCCGCGAGCGAAAGCCCCCAGCGCAGGAGTTCGGAGGCCAGCAGCAGCAGGCCGCACAGCGCCGCCTCCCACGCCAGGGAAGGCCGAGGCCCGCTGCCCGCCTCGCATGCAGGGCACGGCGGGCAGGGCGAGGGGCAGGCTCGAGTGGCCTCCCTCGCGTCCAAGGCGGCCGCCAGGCAGTCAGCCAGCGGCACATGGATCCCAGCGGCCTCGCCCGGCGCCGGGAGCGGGCCCGCCTCCAGCGGCGGGAAGGGCGCAGCCGCCGCGGGCACGCCTGGGGCCGCGGGCTCGGCGGGCTGCAGCCACCAGCGCGCCGGGAGCAGCAGAATCGCGTTGCCTGCCAGCGGGAGGCGGACCCCGGAACCTGCGAAACGCATCAGGGCGGAGGCCTCTCCCTCCAGCAAAAGACTTGAGCCGACGCGGTCGCGGAAAGATCCGTGACCACGATGGCTTTCGGTTCCACCAGAGATGAGATGTGCAAGCACGGCCATCATCAGAATCATAATCATCATCGTCGTCGTCATCATCAGCATCACCATCATCATCATCATCAGCAGCAGCAGCATCATCATCATCATAATCATCATCATCATAATCATCATCATCATCATCATCATCATCATCATCATCAGCATCATAATCATCATCAGCAGCATCATCATCATCATCATCATCATCGTCATCATCATCATCATCATCACCATCACCATCACCATCATCATCATCATCATCATCATCATCAGCATCAGCATCATCATCATCATCATCATCATCATCATCATCATCATCATCATTACCATCATAATCATCATCATCGTCGTCATTGTCATCATCGTCATCATCAGCATCAACATCATCATCATCATCCTCACCGTCATCATCGTCATCGTCTTCGTCGTCAGTGTCATCACCTTTTCTACTCGCTACCACCACCAGCATTCGCATCGCCGTTTCGCCACACCCATCACATGTTTCGTGGCCCCGTAGAGAGCTGCACCGACGCTGCGTCCGCACGGCGCCTGCCCGCCCATGTCAGCATAACCCTCGCCCACTTTGTGGCCCCAAAGGGAGCTCCACACCAGGTCCCTGTAGCTGGGTTCACATGCTGTCCCGCCCCATTTCGCCACACCCCTCGCACGATTCGCGGCCCAAGGAGACGCGAAAATGCGTGCCGAGCTTGGTGCCCAATGAACTCTCGTGAATCCGGCGGTCCTGTTAATAGTTTCCAAGCGCTTTGACAGGGTTGGGTTCTTCGCCAGGGTAATTTCAAGGCCCTTCCCCTCGACTTCGTGCGCTTGAGGTGAAGATGGCCCCCACTGCAAAGGCGGCTTCGAGCGTCGGGCCCAACTCGGCTCGGCGCTCAACCGACAGGAAGGGCTTGACCCTTCCTTCGTGGACAGCCGAGCCAAACTTCCTCCCAGATCCTCCATGCTCCCTCCCCCTCCTCCCGATCCTCTCCCTCTGCGGGCAGGCAGGGCGGGAGGCGGCGCCGTGCTGCCTGCAGTGGGGGACGCTGGTCTGGCTGCACCTGCCGGTGTGGCCGGGGCGCCACGGCACAGGAATGGGCAGGGCCTCCAGCTGCCTCCCTGTTGCCTGCTGCAGCTGCTGCTCCTGATGCTTTACTGGCGGTCGTTCATGCACACTGGCAAAATAGATAGAAACGACATGGACGGGGGTAAATAAACATGTGCAGATGCCTATATATAAACATACACACTGGGATTCGGAACTCTTTACCTGGGTAGTCGATGTTGATGATCCCCATAACTGCAAGCGCTAGAGTTTGCCTTGTGCTTGGCTCTGTTGTAATAGGCGGTTGCCTGTCTCTAGCGTCTGAAATGACATGCTGCTGGTGTACGACGTCCCGTCGCCCTCTCTAACGGGCGCGGCGGTAACGGGGACGACCCAGTTTTGTGCGCCCAAGCTGATGAAAAGGGCCCTGCCTTTGCCGTGGTGGGCACTCACGCCGCCCGTGGCGAGTCACGGTCTGAAGCTTTTATTTTGCGTGAGCGACTCATGCAGCATGGTGTAGCAGATTTTACTATTGCTGCGCAATTTCTTTAGCTCGCCCCTGAGCCTGTGTCGATCGCGGTTTCGCTGGTGGATGGTATCAAGTTCGGTGTGCTGCTTGTGAACGAGTTCGTTGTATGCAGTGGCTGCTCGGTCGACGCCACCAGTGCTTTGGAGTGCGGCGACGCAGGCTTCCTTTTCTGGACAGGTTGCTGTCCAGAAAGGTTGCTTTGTGGCGGCCCTTGCCTGGTGCCTTGGATTGCTGTGGTGCAGGGGACGCACGGCGACGACATTTCGGAGCCATGGCGCGCGCGTGCGCGTTCACTAGTGACAAAAGAGATGTGACAAAAAATCGGTCCCGTATGATTGATAAGGTTATGGTCTCACCGGGCTGAAGGGCGCGGAAGCTTACGTGTCCTGATTGCACCCTGAGCGCGATCGCTTTCGAGCCGAAACAAGATATATAGAGATAGACAGAGAACAACAAAGAAAACATAGTGAAAGAGAGTAGAGAGGAGGGAGGTCGCCCCCCAAAGCCAGCACAGCCTGCGAGAAGGCATAGTCAAGGAAGTCCCGGCTCGGCTGGTGGAGCCTGAACCTGTCAGGGGTGGGGGGGGGGACGGAGGCCGAGGCTGGTCCCGGGTGACCGTGCAGCCCGGTGCGCCCTTCCCTACAACCCCAGCGCCGAGCTCACAGGAATTCTGGGCGCTCTCGGGAGGTTCTGGGGATGTGCGTGCGATTCCCCCCGAGGCACTGGACGTGGGCCAGCCAAACTTGAGAATACATCCTGGGGTTTGGCGGGGCTTCTTGGGCCGTCCTCGGAGTCCGAGGGGCCGACCCAAGAAGCCCAACTCTGAGAAGCACAGCAAGCTAAACCTATCATCGCAAATTTGTCTGTTCGATTGTAAGAGCGTCCAGGACAGCCCAAGGGCCCCAACAAATCGCCCCAAGAGAGCCCCGAAGCCCCCAGGAGGGGCCCGAGAGGCTCCCGAGAAGTCCCCAATGGAGACCCATAGGGCGAACTCGAACTGAGATTTGGAGTTCCCCACCCCAAGATGACTCCCGAGACCGCCAGCAGGCCGAAAGAGAAGAGGCGCACAAGAAGCCCCCAGAGCTGCCCAAGAAGTTCCAAGGAAGCCCCCAAGACACCTCCAAGAGGCACTGGAGAAGCCTGAATGCTACTCCAACATGCCCCCGAGAGGCCTCCAGAAGGTACACCACAAGACCGGTACCTATGGTACACGATAAAGGGATGGAGGGAAATAATTCACGATAAATAGATCACAATCGGGGGAAGCAACATGATAACCGAGTCGTCGAAGAGTTCTCCATTATCAGAATGTACTCTTCACAGCTTGCTACCCTTTACATTAAACAGCCACCTGTTGTGGCAACCATACCACCTGAGCTTTCCACTCTTGCACTCCACACGACGCCCGTCATGCAACCAGTCATGTTCTGTGTGGAAGCTAGAGCGCCCCCACCCATCACAACGCAAAACTGGAATGGCATCCTGTGTAGACGTACCTCTGCGATTGTTCCACTGAAGGTTCCATGCAATTCTAGCCAGTATCTCTCCCATCGCATTGGTATTAAGAACAGCCAGGGGATTGCCAACGAATGCTAAGTGGGAAGGGCATTGGGAAATATCGGGGATCTGGCATGCTGACAAACAAAAACGAACGGACCAGGCTCCCCCATGTAATCATCCCCGATCTATCAAGCATGCGTCCAATATGTGGTGCCATGCGGTGTGCCTTGCTCTGATCTCAATCAATGCCATCGAAGTGTCTTAAGACAAGCTGACTGGAGCCCATCCGTCTATTCTTGGACCACTCTGGCTTGAGCGAAAAGGACCATGTCTGGCTTGAATATTTCCTGGCTCCAACTTGGAGTTCCAGACCCCAGCATTCCCCCAAGAGGCCCCTTAAACGCACCAACCGATACCTCTACAGGCCGTGACAAAGTCCTAAGAGGCACCCGACACCCCAGGAATACCCCGTATGGCATCCAAAACTAGATTAACGGACCAACGCAACAATCACAGCATACCAGTTACGGCCACGCCACGCTACAACATCCCAGCACTGCTTCCCAACACTCGGCGACGTGTGTGTTAGCATTCGTAATGTTGGTCATTGCGGCATGCCGCTTGGCCTGGAAGAACACGGTCTTAAAATGGTTCCAGCATTACTATTGGGAAGACCTAGCCCTCACGTGCATCGATGCATAGAAAAACGAATGGAAGGCAAACCCGAAGGAAGAGAGATGGGAAAAACACATGACTCACATCCCAGGACACCGTGCACCGTGCTGATTTCGACTGCTTCCGCTGCGCTCCAGACCCACAAAACCCTCCCACGTGCGTATTGGGCCTCTGTCTGCCCCATCCGTAGGGGCGTTCGTTTTTGGGACGGTCTGGCGGCCGTTTCGGCGCGGTTTGAGACCGCCTGGGAGAGCGGTCGACTGCCGGTTCGACTGTCATGGCGAACTGCCAGTCGCGTCGCAATGATACCAGCCATACTCGGGGAAGGCTCTCAAGGAACATGCCCAGAAATGCTTAGCGGCATTCAACCATTCCCACTGCGCACTTGACCCACAACCCAAGCACGATGGCGGGGTAGCCAAAGGACACCGGATAGCACAAAGGTTCATCGAACCCAAATGTTAACTTTGAACCAAGGATCTCTGAGTCACATCAGTACGTGCCTCCTCATCAAATCGTTCGAGCAAGCTCCCACTCAAACTTGCATACAAGAAGACCGGGGCTGCTGAATTTGCCGAACGAATCAAAAGTCCGAGCGCTCAGCAGTCGGTCACGACCACACCTCATGCGACATGCAAACGAATCACACACACTGCTTCCTCCGACGCGCCAAACGCCAACTGGCGGAGATCAGGTCAGGCGGGGCACGCTCAGGCCGGATCTGCTACACTACGAGGCGAAGCGGCCAAAGCGCTGACCTGTCAGAAGTCCCGAGACTGACACGAGACAGCATGACGGACCACAACGAAGCTTACACACACAAGATACCAGAGAACATAGAAACTATCCACGGGCAGCTCCTCCCGCGGCCAGGAACTCGCACCCCATGGCGGGGTCGTGGTACGGAAAGGCGGGCAGGGAGTCCTGGGCAGCTGGGACGCTGCAGCAGAGACGAGAAGAACTGGCCAGGCGAAGTGGCTGTGTCAAAGAGTCCGTGGGCAATGCAGCTAGGACGCGCAGCCGAAGAACGAGCGCACTCATCCGCCGAACTGATATTGTGCCCTCCAAGTGCCAGCTGCAGACTAAATGGGCTGGCTTGGTGCTCAGGGCAGTCACCGAATCCGACTTATCTGTGGTGCAAGTAGCGACCGCGGAGAAGCCACCCGTGCAGCATGACACAAGCAAGCAAGAACAGGGACACACTTCCAGGAGAAGGAGGAGAAGGAGGATGATGAGGGGGTGGAGGATGACGATGTCGAATCAGGCCACGATGAACCGATGGATGGGGCAACGCCGAGAGTTCGTAACGCTCGAATTTGTGTGGTGCCGCTGGAGCTTCGAGATTCCAAATCGCAGATGGCTCGGGCGCGAAGGCCTCTCCCCCGAGGTGCGAGGGGATCTGCAGGAAGCCTGTGACAGGCGATGAGCGAGGGCCTCCCCCCTGCACAAAGTTGCTGCGCAACCCCGTGCCCCTCGCAAAGCTAGTTGTGCAAGACCCGAGCTCGGGGCCTCGACCGAACGCAGGGTTGAACAACAAGTTCTGCAAGGAGCCCTCCCTGTGCACAATTTTGCCTGGTAGGGGAGGGCCCTTGCACAAATTGGTTGTGCACGGAAGCCCTCAAAAAATTAGGAAAAGTGAGGGGTTACCCAACTAGTTGTGCAAAGGGCCATCCCCTTGAAATTGTTCTGCGAGCCCCCACCACCCCGAAAAGCGATCGTCCCCGCATGTGCAAAATCGCTGTGCCCAGCCGAGAGCGACACTGCTCCGAGCGGCGTCCAAGCAGCTGCAGACACTGGGGGTGTAGGAAGGCTAGACAATGACTAGCGCACAGAACCTGTGGGCACGATCATAGCAAGTCCTATGAAATCCTTCGGTCAGTGAGTGGTGATGGGAACCAGCCTGACAGCAGCGTTGGTCCTCCCCCCTCTTCCTCATCCCTCCTCCTCTCTGACTTTCATGGCTACCCCTCGTTCCGTTTCCTCCCCCTTCTCTTCCCCTCTCCCACGGTCCTCATCCCCCTTCTCCTCCCCCCTCCTCCTCCTCCTCCTCCTCCTCCTCCTCCTCCTCCTCCTCCTCCTCCTTTCAATCTACAAACGCATGAGCCTTCTAAGCGGGAAAAGTGGCAAGCACCGAGTCGCGAACATCATATAATAGCAGCCACTGTGCAAGGCCCGTCCTCGGCCACCACGCCAGCCTCTCTTCGTCCGCACCTGCCCCGCTGAGGGACACGACGACGCCGAGCCCGAAAACGGGCCACGACCGCGCCGTGCAGATTGCGAGGTGACCGAACCGCCCAGCGCCAGACAGAGGCCCGCTCCGGCAAGGGAGCCCGGAAGGGGCCATGGGGCACCGCAGCGGGCCGCGGCGGGCCGGGCACGCGGTGCTGGACAGACCACCTCGGCGGGCTCCCGGGGTGGCCCCCGCGGGCCTCCCGCCCGCCGCGCCTCCCGACGAGGGCGAGCGGTCCGCCCTGTCGACCCCGCAGAAGGCGAGGCCCCGTGCTCGTCTGCAGAGTTCCGCCGTGCCCGCCCCGCGCCTGCGCCCACAGGGCACACCTGGCCTCGGAGGGGAGGCCACGAGCTAGACCGAGGCCGCAGACCCGCGGAGCTCTCCTGGGGCGCATTCATGGCCAGGATTTCAACTCCAGCCGTGGCGACGAGGGGGAGGCGTTGCGGCACCTTGGTATCCTGATCGACAGTGTATAGGAGGGGACTGGCACAGGGGGGGGCGCATCGACCTCGGATCGGCGACACATTGCCGAAAGATCGGCGATTGGCCCCCCCGTAGCGAATCCGCACGTTCCTGACGTGGTGGGGCTATCGGGCCCGCGTGGGCAATTGGGGGTCGATGCAACCACCCCCTATGCCTGTCTCGGCGGCGAGCGAGGGGGAAGTGCGAAGGAGAGGGCCTTCAAAGAAGGTTCGGAAGTCCCCAGGCCTTCTTAGAATAAAAGGTTTCAAAGCCCCCCTCCGAAGAAAAAAGACTCCTCGGAAGGCGCGAGGGCTTCTGAGAAGTCCCGCCGCCTTCTGAGAGGGCCCTCTCCCTCTCACCTCCCCCCCTCGCTCGCCTCGGAGCTCCGTCCCACAGACTCCATGGCCTCCGAGCACCGCTGGAGAGCACCGAAGAACGCCGGAGCGGCGCGAGGGCGCGCAGCCCATCTGCAGTGGTGAGCCGCCCGCCCGCCCATGCGTGACGCTGGCTGGCCTGCGGAGGCCGCAGGACCGTGGAGAGCCCCCCCCCTCCACAGAAAAGGTCCCTCGCGCCCGCATCCCCCCCCCCCCTGCAACCCTCCTCGAGATCAAACGCAAGAGTTTTTAATGTTGGTCGAGGCGCGAAGTGCGGCCCATTAGGGGGCAGATTTGTGTGTGCTTGCCGTCGCCGTTCTCGGCGCGAGCATTGCAATCTTTTGGGGCCAGGGGGCGCCGCCACCTCGCGGGAAAAACTTGCGTTCGATTTCGAGGAGGGGTATATGCATATCCTTAGGTCGGGCATGTCCTCCCACAGGTGGATTTTTGACGAAACACGAAAAATAAACAAAACAATGATGCAACATAGTCAACAAATTGAAAAACGTCCCCAGACTATTTTTACTATTTTTGAATATTCCTCCTGTACCGAAACCTATTACCCCCATATCGTTCCCCCTGATCTGTCTCTTCCTCTGCTGAGCCTCGCGCTCCGCGCCGCGCGCCGCGCGACGCGCGGCTGCGCTGCTGCGCCGCTGCGCGCCGCTCCGGCGCTCCTTGGCGCTCTCCGGCGGCGGCTGGAGGCCATGGAGGAGGAGCAGGAGGACGAGGACGAGGAGGAGGAGGAGGAGGAGGAGGAGGAGGAGGAGGAGGAGTAGGGGGGAGGAGGGAGAATGGAGTCTGTGAGATGGAGTCTGTGAGATGGTGTCTGTGAGAGTCTTCCAGGGGTGGACCATGAAGTCTGTGAGATGTCGTGGCACTGGCCATGGTGTCCACACATGCTTTCAAATCAGCGGGCGCAAGCGAGTCGAAGCTGGTGCAGGCGCTGGTCGGGCTACGGGAACGAGTTGAGGCACATAAAGCAGAGTAGGAGGAGGAGGAGGAGGAGGCGGGAAAGGCAAAAGAGGCGGGAACCACTCATGGTATCCGCACACGCCTATTCCTCACCCCCCGCTTGGACGCCCCCGACCCTGCGGGTGACACAGGAGGATGTTGGCGGAGAAACTTGAGGGGACGAGAAGAGGAGGAACGTGCAGGGCCTCGCACTCAGCTCATGGCCGCGCGGAGCCGATTTTGTAAGCCTGCCTTCATCTGCAAAGACGTGCCGAACCGTTGAGCATAGAAACAGAAACTACATCCGAAGCAACTAGGACCTGCTGCATCCCACATGCTGCCTTCCTGCTATTCGCTATTCCTCACACTCGCTGCAGATCCCCAGACCAGACCTCCAGCACACTGATGTTCTCCAATCTGGAAGCCCCATTTGGAGCCGCATGTCGTCCGGGATAATCACAGAACATCTTATTGCCCTGGTGAGCAGGATACAAAAACGAGAGGCTTCATGGGAGAAACACGCCAGGATTGACGATTGATTATCCGCCGAAGATCTGCCACATGGTTCCCTCTCCCCCTGAGGTCGCCGAAGATTCCCCAGAGACCCCTGAAATCTGCGGAAGCATCGAGAAGCCTCCAATGGCCGAAGAACGCCCCCGAAATGATCTGGATCTTCGAATATTCCGCGTCACCTACGGCCAAGAACTTTTGCTTAGCGTGTCGCGGCAACGGCCCCGGCGACACGCTATGTCGTGCAAGCGGGCAGCGTGTAGCTCCGCCCCACGGAGCGGGATGATCGGAAAGGCTCGGGACGATGACGCTTGGGGACCAGGAAGCGGATGGCGTGTGGAGACGAAGCGCGATGGGCCAGAGCCAGCGGAGCGAAGTTCCCGACCGCAGTGTGGCGTGTCGCGCCCTGCGATGCGCGACGCGCCGTGCTCTGGGCGCCCGCGCCCCCGCGCCGCCCGCTCTGCGCCCTGGACCGCCGCGGCGCGCTAGGAGCGATGGGGCTGCGCGCCCCCGCTGGCGGCCCAGAAGCTTGACCCTCTCGTGGGCGGAGACCAGGTCCGTGTCCGCGGCTTCGCGGGCGGGGCCCCTCTGGTTGCAACCCCGCGGACACAGTCGGGCCCCAGGCCAGAAGAGTACTCCTCGAAAACATGAGACCCTCCGCCGGCCAAAACGAACAGAACATCCAAGGGTGCCCTCCCCAGGATGCACAAGAGCATCCAACACACACATACACACACAGAACACGAATGCACCCTCCCCGAACCGACCTCGATCTTATATCTCGGCCCGACTGTGTCCGTATCCGCTATCGCGGCTCCGCGGCTCCGCGGCTTCGGTTCGCAGTAAAAGCAAATCCGCGGACACGGGGCGGTCGTTCGCGGACACCCCTCGAAGATTCGATCCGTCCGACCGCGTATCCCCAGGATCGCGCCCTGGGGTCCAGAACCGCGAGGGCACGGATACGACATGTTCGCTGCTCGGGATCCTCCACCTCCTCCTCCTCCTCCTCCTCCTCCTCCTCCTCCTCCTCCTCCTCATCATCATCATCATCATCATCATCATCATCATCATCATCATCATCATCATCATCATCATCATCATCATCATCATCATCATCATCATCATCATCATCATCATCATCATCATCATCATCATCCTCATCCTCTCATCCTCATCCTCATCCTCACCCTCATCCTCATCCTCCTCCTCCTCCTCCTCCTCCTCCTCCTCCTCCTCCTCCTCCTCTTCCTCCTCCTCCTCCTCCTCCTCCTCCTCCTCCTCCTCCTCCTTCCGCGTCCTCTGGAAGCTCATCCAGCGGCGACGGGATGGGGATCTCGTACTTCTGCATGTCGCGGAGCAGCTGGTCCTGGACGACGCCGCGCACCGTCACCTGACGGCGGTGGGGCGCCGCCGCGCGGAGGGCGCGGGCCCTCAGCCTGCCTCGACGGCGTCGGCGTCCAGGGGGCAGGGTGGGAGCGATCGACGGCTTGTCGGACGAAGCCATGATACGGCGAGGACTTAGGAACCGTTGAACAATAGGAACCGAGGAGGAGGAGGAGGAGGAGGAGGAGGAGGAGGAGGAGGAGCGCATCAGTCCAACTTGTACCTTGAGCCAAAATGGCTACGGAGGAGGATGAAAAGGAGGAGGAGGAGGAGGAGGAGGAGGAGGAGGAGGGGGACACCAGACACGAGTGGAAACCACAATCACCGTGGCACAAGACAGGGGTAGGACTTACCCTGGGGGGAACCCCAGGAACCTCCCTAGCGAATTAGCACAAATCTCACCCCGAGCTCAAAACTTGGCTCTCGACAACCTCGCCGTTGTCCCACAGCTGCGACGCCTCGAAGCCCGCGTCGTAGGCCTCCCCGCAGGCGGCATGATGCGCGGCTCGGGCCTCTGCCAGCAAAACCTCCAGCTTCTGGACGGCGCCCGCGGTGCCCAAGAGCCTCTGCCTGGCCGCGCAGACGGTCAGCGGCAGCAGCTTCTCCCCATGAAGGGCCTCGGAGCCGATCTGCAGCGAGCCCGAATCCTTCGCGACCTTCTCCGTGTCACCGACCACGGCCTCGTGCTTCACAGAGTCGTCCTCGGTCTCGCCCATGTTGAGCCGAGGGTTCTCCAGGGCCAGCCCGTGCATGGCTGGCCGAACCCATTGCCTTCACCTCGTCGGTGTCCTTGCAGGCAGAGGCGCACTTGAAGTCCTCATGCTTCACCTCCTCCATCTGCTTCGCAACTGGCCTTAACGAGACCTCCTCAGGCAACTCCTTCTTGGCCTCCAGGTCGTCGTCCAAGGAGGGAGCCGATGCCGCGTCGCCGCCTCCACGCCGGCGGCCCCGCACACGGCGTTTGGCCTCCTGGGCCGTGGCCGGCGCCGCGAGGGGCCCAGCGCCGAACTCGGCGTGCTGGGCCCAGCCGCGGAAGGCCCCCGAGGGCCGAGGCACCACGCCCTCGCGGCCCGCCTTCACCATCTCGGTGAGGTGGGGCCTTCCCAGCCGCTCGCGGACCGCGACCTCCTCCTCCACCACGGGGTCGGAGCGCAGGGCGAGCAGCTCGGCGCCCGTGCGGAGTGCGGACGCGACCGCGGCGGCGACATGCTGCCGCCCGCCGCCGCCTTCAGCCGCCCCCGCCGCTGCCGCCTTCACCAGCGGGGCGAGCAGCGCCACCGCATCCCCGTCGAGGGGCACGACCGTCGCCATTGCCCGAGCCGCGGCGGGAAGCGCACGCCCGAAGCCAGCTTGAGCCAAAATGGCTACGGAGGGGAGGAGGAGGAGGAGGAGGAGGAGGAGGAGGAGGAGGAGGAGGAGAAGGAGGAGGGGGAGGAGGAGGAGGAGGAGGAGGAGGAGGAGGAGGAGGAGGAGGAATAAGACGTGTAGGAGGAGGAGGAGGAGGAGGAGGACGTGGAGGGTGAGGAGAAAGAACCATTGGATCATAGGGGGGGAACGCTGACTATGGGCACCTACCTGCATCGATCCTGGCCAGGCCCGTCCTGGGCCAACGATCGGCGTGTGCACGCCCTCTGGGCTCGGTCAGCGAAGCATACACACTGATCTTGGGCCCAGGATCGGCCCGGCCAGGACTGGTGCAGGTGTATAAGAAATAGGTGCCCTTCGAGAGAAGGAATCCAGAGTCTGGAAGCCAGTGGAACTCCAATCGTGGATCGGCCATAAGTATCACCGCCGCTCGCATTAGCAAGGAACCCTCCAGGTTCTGAAGCCTCCCGAACGCGCCTCCTGTATGGGGAGTAGGCAGGACGAGGGTGAATCGGGCATCTTTGAGAGCTGGCGGTCTGGAGGATGCATCGGGCGCCGCGGCCGTGCCAGAGCGCTCCCAGGCGCTCCGAGAGCATTCTGGAACGCTCTGGAGCGATTTGTCCTCATCGGACTTCGCCTACGTAATTAGGGGTTCGCACTTGCTCTGAAGAGCCCGTGGGTGCGGGGCCTGGCGGCGCCAGGGGGAGGGGGCGTCCTGGGGGTTCCGGGGCGTTCCTGGGGGATGGCCTGGTTCTCTTTCCTGGCCGTGGCGTTCACGGGTTCCTTGGCTCCGTGGTCTTGGTTCCGTGCTGCCTTCCTTGGCTTCACTGGTCTGGTTCCTTGGTGCCTTGGTCCTGGTTCCTTGGTTCCTTGACCGTGGCTCCTTGCTTTCTTGGTCGTGGTTCGTGGGTTCCTCGGTCTTGATTCCTCGATCTTGGTTGCTTGGTCTTGGTCCCTTGGTATTTGTTCCCGGCTGCCTCACCACGCAACGCCAAGCAATGCAAAACAAAGCGACGCACTTCCAAGCAATATCACGCAAAGCCAAGCAACGCCAAGCAATGCCAAGCAAAATCAAGCAATGCCACGCAATGCATGCCAAGTAATACGCAAAGCAATGCCACGGCATGCGCCCATGCAACAGAAAACTGTCCCCTAGTCGGGACCGCGCTAGGTTCATGTTTTTTCATACCCCTGCTCGCGCTAGAAAGCCAGATCTAGTCGAAATGGCGAAAGGGGGAAGGAAAAAAGTTCGGCCTCTGGAGGCAATACTTTTAATCAACACCCTGCCCAGAGGGGGACAGCAGCATGGATAGAAAGGCGATCGCAGAGAGGAGTGAAGACGGGGAGAACGGACGGAGGACTGAGGAGGCAACTCCTGGGAGGTCTTCGCCGGCACAGGTGACATTAATTACGTAAGCCAAATTGGGGGGGCTACAAAGCCGACGCCGATTCCTGATGAAAGTGGGCAGGGACTGCTGTTGGCCTCTGTCCCCATTCTTTCCGAACCCATTCCAATCGCACCGACAAAAACCAGAGCCCATCCCGAGTCAGAGGTGTTCTGTCTTTCAGTCAGAATCTTGACTGTGTGGACCTGCAGGTGGCCAGGTGCGCCCGCGCGGGCCTCTCCCCGACCCTCAGAAACTTGTGGTGTCCAAAACCCGGATAGCGGGGCGACAGAAGCTTCTCGAAGGTCCTCCGAAGGAGCTCTGGCAGCTCTGGGAAGGAGCGTCTGGAAAGCTCGACGGCACGCGTGCTGGGAAACAGCCTGAAAAGGCCCTCCGGGACACGCTCCAATCTCGGGCAGGCGGCTGCGACGCTGGTGGACCGACGCCGGAACGATCTCCGGGGCCGGCATGGCCCGCAGGCCTCTCCTCTAAAACCCGAACTATAGCTCTCGAGGAGCTCTCCGGAAGCTGCGCGCACCGGGGTTCACCCAGGCCAGAGTCTCGGCAGGCGGGCGCGGCCGTGGCGACGAGGGCGCCCCGGGATAATTACCCCGACCCTCGAGGTCCTCGACCCTCGAGCCTGGCGAGCCGCCTGGGGGCCTCGAGATCTCCTCGGCGACACGCCCAGGGGGGGAGTGAGAGTGGGCGGGTCTTCTCACAAGACTCGGAGGACCTGCGGCCTTCTGACACGTTTGAGCCTTCCCCGAAGACGCCGAAGGCCTCCCCCAGGGGCAGGAGGGCTTCTGAGAAGCCCCGCCGCCTTCTGAGAAGGCCTCCTCCTTCTCACCTTCCCCCCAGTCGCTCGCCGCCGATCTGCGAACCCCCGTCCCTGACATCCGCCGATGTGACTGCGTGTCCTTTCAGTCCACGGCCCCAAATGTCCCGACCCATTCTAAGACGAAGCCAGGATCGACAACATCGGGCGAAGATACATCGATGCGATTCTGGAGGACGCTTCGGGCGCCGCGGCCTTCTCAGAGCGTTCCAGCACGATCGGAACGCTCTGGAACGGATGTATCCTCGTCCTAGCCTCGTGCGATCCTCGGGTGGTTGTTCGCCCTGGGCTCATGTCTGATGGTCCTGGGGCCCGGGGACACACCCCCAGGGGGCGAAATCCAAGAGAACGCTGGGGTCTAACAGAAATACCATCGGAGATCTGGGATCGAGCCGGCTTGGCGGGGGGGAGTCCGAGCCATGACCAGGGCCTGCGGTTGTCTTTCGGGAGGATCCCGGCACCCCTGCAACGCCCTCGGCGAGGAGCAGCTGCTGGACGGCACCCCGAGGCTGGAAAGCCGACGAGACTCCCGAGGACCTCGAACCTCCAGCCCGAAGAGAAGAGGTCCCCGGCCTGGGGGGGCCCGCTCAGCCGCCGCACGTGCACGTTGACAGGGTACACGCTGCGCTCGTCTGCGGGAGTGGCGGGGGCCGCGCGTGGCAGTGCGCACTCCGGGGGCTGCCGCAGGCGGGGCGCCGCGAGGGCACCCAGCTGCGCAGGGCAGCAGCAGACTGGAAGCGCAGAGGTGATCCCGGATCTCCGACGATCTGTTTTGCCCAAGCCTGCGGTGTTGGGTCCTCGCTTTGAAGAAACAGCGCCCCGCGTCTCCTTCCCTCCCACTGCCCCCCCCCCTCCCCGCCTCCCATCCCTGCCTCTTCCCTCCGAATGTGAACCATTTCGGCACAGCCTTGACACGCATCGTGGCCCCAGAGGGAGCTCTACCGAAGGCCCGAGAAGGAGCGTTCGCATGTGGGCGTCCTGCCCGTTTCGGCACAACCCCTCACTCGCTTCGTGGCCCTCATAAGGAGCTCCACCAAAGGCCCCAGAGGGAGCGTTCGCATGTGGGCGTCACGCCCGTTTTGCCACATCCCTCACTCACTTCGTGGCCCCCTTAGGGAGCTCCACCGAAGGCCCCAGAGGGAGCGGTCGCATGTGGGCGTCACGCCCGTTTCGGCACAACCCCTCACTCGTTTCATGGTCCCATGGGGAGCTCCGCCGAAGGCCCCAATGGCATGGTCCGCGCGCGCCCACCCCCCACTACGGCATGCCCCTCGCCCTTTTTGTGGCCCCGCGGGGAAATCCACCGAAGACCATACTCACGGCTACGGTACTCACAACTGGCTGCACGTGGCTAGGTCCTTCGCCAAGAAAGTGCTGCAGGCGGAGATTTTCTCCTGGAGTTCGGCCTCCGAAGGCCACATTCGAGCCTCAGGACCGCCTGGAATGGATCTGGGTCGAGAAACTGGCCCCGGAGAAGTGGTCGGGGATCCTGAGGCCGCGGACTGAACAAAAATCAGATCCACCGATGTCTGGGAGGTGATCCTGGCCCAAGTGCCTCGCGGGCATCCTCACGCTGCGCAGGGCAGCAGCAAATCTGAGGTTCAGAGGTGATCCTGGCCCAAATCGCCAACGCATTGAAAAGAATAAGACGGACGATGTCCTCCACTTTCGACATCTGGATGCCCCCGCAGGGCCCCGCGAGCGTCAACAAAACTAAACTCTGGATAAGCAGCAGGCCTTGGTAAAAGGGCCAGGACTTCCGGGGGCCCCGCACTGAACAGATCAAGGCATCGCATGTATGAGGAGTATGGCCCAAGTGCCTCGCTGGCATCCTCGCGTCGTAGATCTGGCGTTGCCATGAAGGTGATCCTGGCCCAGGGCCCGGGCTGGACCAGAGGGTGGGAGTACCCCATGCCGTATTTTGGAAGCTTCTGGGAGCGCCCGAAATCCTCCTCCTCCTCCGCCTCCTCCCGTCTGCGTTGCGCCGTGGCCTGGCAGCGCGAGGCCGGCCCGGTGCGGCCACCAGAGGCTTGCGTGGCGGAGAGGCGAGGCGGCGCCTCCCAGCGCTGCAAGGCACCCGCGTATCGCAGAAAGCACCCGGCTGCGGGGCCGAAGCCGGCTGCGCGTAGCAGACTCGGTGGCGCCCCGATTCCCAAGGCCCCCACGTTCGTCCGACCTGTAGTGCGCATCGAGCTGCGGAACCTCCCTTCACGGAAGGTGCTCCGGGAGCCACCTGGGCATCCGTGGAGAAGCTGAAGTCGCCTTGGGCCAGGGCCACCTCTGGCAACGACAGAGGGGGTGCGCATGGTCCGGCACAGAGGCAAGACAGCATCGGATGCGACATCGGACGCAGACATGGCGAGCTTCGTGCGAATGCTTGGCACGGATGGCTGGTGTCGTGACGGCGCGTGCGTTGTTTTCTGAAACTGCGTGGGTTCTTTTTGGCTTGAATCACAGTGGCTGCCAAGCGAGATTATTCGAAGCTGGCTGGTTCAGGCCGCTGGTGGCCATTCACCTTGAACGCCACCACTGGCGTCGCCGCCACGTCGACGCGGAGCGCACCTGACGTAGGCCATGCCCTTACTCAGGACGTCTGAGCCCCATGAGACGTCGCAAGCATTCTCAAGCTCTGCCTGATGGTGGTCGACATCCTGTGCTTCACAAGATCCCACAGCACTAGTTATCAACAGCTCTCACATGCTCTCACAAGTGCTCACAAACTTCCAAACACTCACACACACACACTCTCCCACTAACTCCCGCGCGCCCCCACAAACTGTGAGAAAACGAGAACGGATGATGCAAGGGATATGGACATATCATCCCAGAAGCATCCTGACAGCGATATGATGGATCATGGGATGACGAAGCCATAATGGGTCTTGTCATGTCCTACCAAGTGGACCACCATACGAGAAGCCAGAGGGTCCTGAGAGGCTTCTGACTGGCTCCTGAGAGGGTCCTGAGTGGCTCCTGAGGGTGTATTGGAAAGCTATTGGGAAGATCCTGACAAGCTCCCGAGAGGCTCCCCAGGTCCTCACGGGCTCCTGAGAGGCTCCTTTGCGGGTCGTTGCATGTTCTTGAGACGTTCTTGACATGTAATGGGAGGATTATCAGAGCCTCCTAAGGCTGCTGAGGTAGAACACGTGCTCGCATAGCGATTCATGTTTGTAAGCATTTATACATACTAGAACCATCGCACGCGCTTCGCGCGCGCTCAGGTTCTAGCAGGCCCCAGGCCTTGACGAATTCATTGCTCCACTGAAGTAGTGGACCACAGTCCACGCATGCCAATCTGCATTCCGAAAGGCCTTCGAGGAACATGATTGTGTATGGAGGCGGAGGCCGTATGAATCGGGTTGACAGAAGGCCTTCTGGGAGCATGGGTTTGGGGGAGTCTTGGCGAGCCTGTTGGGGCGTGCCATCGTCGTCGTCGTCGTCGTCGTCGTCGTCGTCGTCGTCGTCGTCGTCGTAATGTCGTCGTCGCCTAGTGGGGCACGACGTCGTCGTCGTCGTCGTCGTCGTCGTCGTCGTCGTCGTCGTCGTCGTCGTAATGTCGTCGTCGCCTAGTGGGGCGCGACGTCGTCGTCGTCGTCGTCGTCGTCGTCGTCGTCGTCGTCGTCGTCGTCGTCGTCGTCGTCGTCGTGTCGTCGTCGTCGTCGTCGTCGTCGGTTCAAGAGGGCACTTGGGGCAACTTTGTGCGAAACGATCTGCGGAGGGCCGCGAGCAGGCGATCAGTCATGTTCCCAATCAACTTCCCAGAGAACTCTCCAGTAGCATGATGGTACTTCGAAGCCTACGGAGCCTCGCGGGCCCATGATGAACCATGTCCCCGGAAGGCTTTCTGGGGACATGGTTTGTTGGGGTGTGTTGGGGGGTCTCTTGGGCGTTCCCTGGGGGCCCCTTGGGGGCCTCCGGGAACTCTCGGGCCCATGATGAACCATGTCCCCGGAAGGTTTTCTGGGGACATGATTTCTTGGGGTGTGTTGGGGGGCCTCTTGGGCGCCTCTTGGGGGTCTCTTGGGGCTTCCTGGGGGCCTCTTGGTGGCCTCCGGGGGCCTACAGGCGGCCTCTAGGGCCAGAGACCTCGAAATATCGGTTGGCGGTCCCCCTCTGGGCCCTCTCTTGGGGAGCTCTTGGGGCACAGTTGGGTTGTCTGGGGAGCCTCCTGGGCCGTCTTGGGGCCCTCTTCGGGGCCTCGTGGCCCGTCTTGGAGCGATCTGAAGGGCCTCCGAGCGAGGCCGTGAGGGAGCGCTGGGAAGCGGGGAAAGCGAGAACGCCAAAATCCAAAAACCATCGGAAAACGAGTGAATCTTGCCTTCCAGGGCCCTCTTGGGGAGCCTCTTGAGTCCGTCCTGGAGCGTGTTGGAGTCCTCGTCGGCTGTCTTGAGGGCATCTTGGGCGTCTTCGGGGCCTCGTGGGACCGTCTTGGGTCCTCTCGGGACCCCCTTAGCCTGTCGTGGCCTGCTTCGGGGCGGGCTCGGGCCGCCTCGGGAGCTCTGGACCCCCCACCGCAACCCCCGGTGGGCACCGATGGGGGGAACAGGCAGCGGCCCGCCCCCCCCCCGGGCTTATTTCGAGATAGAGAATCATGTTCCCGGGAAGTTTTCCGGGAGCATGATTGATTCGGCTCTCTAAGAGGGGGGCCTCTGGGGGCTTACCGAGGGGCGCCTTTTGGACTTGTCGGCAAGCCTATTGGAAACATGGTTGGGGCGGTGGGCGGAAGCCCAAGGAATCATGTTCCCGGAAAGCTATCTGGGAAATACGATTTTCCAAAGTGTCTTGGGGGCCCGCAGGGGGCTTCCCTGGGGGCCCCTTGGGTGCCTATTGGGGCTTCCGGGGGGCCTCTTGGGAGCCTCACGGGGCTTCTTGGGAGCCTTTTGATGGCCTCCGGTGGCGTCCTAGGAGCCTCTCAGGCAGGAGACTTTGAAATGTCGCGCTCTTCGGGCCCTCTTGGGTCGCTCTTGGGGCTCTCTTGGGGCGCTCTCGAGGCCCTCTTGACTTATCTGGGGAGCCTCGAGGGCCGTCTCTGGGCTTTCTTGGGAGCCTCTTCGGCCGCCTTGGAGCGATCTGAAGGTTCTCTGACGCGGTGCGGGACCGTGGGGAGGCGGAACAAGGGAGAGCGCAAGAATGCTTCAAAAACCATCAGAAAATTTATGAATTTCGGCTCCTTGGGGCCCTTTGGAGGGGCCTCTGGAGGCGCTCTTGGGGCGTTTTGGCGGCGTCGTCGGCCGTCCTGAGGCCATCTTCGGCGTGTCCGGGGCCTCTGGGGGCTGTCTGTGGGCGTCCTGGGAACCCGGGAATCATGTTCCCGGAGAGGCTTCCGGGAACATGATTTCGAACGAGGCCCTCTTTGGCCTCCCTGAGGCCGTCTTGGGGGCCTCCTGGGCTGGCTTTGGGGCCTCTTGGGCCGTCTTGTGGGGGTTCCGTCAGCCCCACGATTCTTTTGGGCCGTCTTGTGCCCTCTTTGGTCTCTCTTGGGCTGTCTTGGGGCTCCTCGGGAGCGTCTGGGGCACTGCGAAGACGAAGCAAAGGAACGTGCTGAATTTGTACGTTTTACTACGGGGACGGGCTGAATTTTGCCTCTTGAAGGCCCTCTTGGGGCCCTCTTCGGCCATCTTGAAGCCATCTCGGGCTCTCTTGGGCCTCGCTGAGGCTGTCCTGGGGCCCTCTAGGGGGCCTTGGGAATCCAGAAATCATGTTCCCGGAGAGGCTTCCGGGAACATGATTTTGAACGGGGCCCTCTTGGGCCTCCCTGATGCTGTCTTGGGGGCCTCCTGGGCCGGCTTCGCGGCCTCTTGAGCCGTCTTGGGGGGTTCCGTAAGCCCCACGGGACGACCCTTTTGGGCCGTCTTGTGCCCTCTTGGGTCTCTCTTGGGCTGGGTTGAGGCTCCGCAGGGGCGTCTGGGGCACTGTGAAGACGAAGCCAGCGAGTATGCCGAAAACGCACGTTTTACGAAAGAAATGTTTGCATCTTGAAGGCCCTCTTGGGGCCCTCTTCGGCCATCTTGAAGTCATCTCGGGCCCTCTGGGGCCTCGCTGAGGCTGTCCTGGGCCCTTGGAGCCCGGAAGTCATGTTCCCGGAGAGGCTTCCGGGAACATGATTTAGAACGGGGCCCTCTTGGGCCTCCCTGATGCTGTCTTGGGGGCCTCCTGGGCCGGCTGTGGCGCCTCTTGGGCCTTCTTTGGGGGTTCCGTGAGCCCCACGGGACGACCCTTTTGGGCCGTCTGGGGCCGCTTGGGTCTCTCTTGGGCTGTGTTGGGGCTCCGCGGGGGCGTCTGGGGCACTGTGAAGACGAAGCCAGCGAGTATGCTGAACATGCACGTTTTACAAAGGAAATGGGCAGATTGTTGCCTTTTGAAGGCCCTCTTGGGGCCCTCTTCGGCCATCTTCAAGCCATCTCGGGCCCTCGCCTCGCTGAGGCTGTCTTGTGGGCATCTCGGGCGTCATGGGAGCCCGGAAGTCATGTTCCCGGAGAGGCTTCCGGGAACATGATTTCGAACGAGGCCCTCGTGGGCCTCCCTGAGGCCGTCTTGGGGGCCTCCTGGGCCAGCTGTGGCGCTTCTTGGGCCTTCTCGGGGGGTTCCGTGAGCCCCACAGGCCGACCCTTTTGGGCCGTCTGGGGCCCTCTTGGGTCTCTCTTGGGCTGTGTTGGGGCTCCGCGGGGGCGCCTGGGGCACTGTGGAGACGAAGCCAGCGAGTATGCCGAAAATGTACGTTTTACGAAGGAACTGGGCCGATGTTTACCTCTTGAGGGCCCTCTTGGAGTCCTCACGGGCCCTCTTGGGGTGCTCTCGGGCGTCTTCGGGGCCTCTTCAGGCTTTCTTGACCATCTGTACGGCCCGCGTGGCCTGTCGTGGGCAATTTGGAAGCGGCCCGGGGCAGTCCCGTGGGGTCTGTGAACCCCCAAAGGTTCGGGGGGGCGGCCATGGGGGATGACGGCACCGATTTTGGCCCCCCCCCCCGGCCTACTCAGATATGTGTATATATCTATATTGATGAACTCAGCATGCACATGATGAACCAACAACGGTGTAAACCCGAGGTTGGGCTTTTGTTGGCATGGCCGCCCAGACTATTAACTTATTTAGTCAGACTAGCAATGGCGTTATTAGACAGTTCGGACCCAGACCATAGAACTATTCGCTGTGGGCGGCTGTGTGAGCTGCGTGGTGTACGCCACGTGGTAACAACTATCTGGTTTTAGCGAAGTGGTGCAATCTAAGTGGTGCCATAGATTCCGTGGTGCAAGCTATGGAGCGGCAACAAGGCGGCGACGGGTGCCATTGCGGCGAAACCGCAGCGGAGCATCAAACCAGCGGTGGGCGGCACCCAGGCGGGCGGCAACGTGGCAAAACCTCGGCGGACTACCAAAGCGCGATGGGCGGCAACGAGGCGGCAACGGGCGGCAACGTGGCGAAAACTCGGCGTACCCCCCAAGCGCGGTGGGCGGCAACGAGGCGGCAACGGGCGGCAACGTAAAACTCGGCGGAACACCAAAGCGCGGTGGGCGGCAACCAGGCGGCAACGGGCGGCAACGTGGCGACACCTCGACGGATCCATCCAATCCCTCAGCAACCGAAATAAATAACCCCTAAGTGCAAGCACGGCTTGTGTGATATCATCAATAACAATAATATACAAGAGCCGTACATCAATAGTCATAGACATGCGAACAATCACATAATCGTAATAATACTGCAACCTGAAGCCGGGATCCCCTTGGGGGAGATTATTGATCGCACTCGCACCGCGAATGCTTCCCAACGCCAGTGCGTGGGGGGACTGGAAACGAGAGTCGAATGCGCTGGGAGAGCTCAAATGATGGGGACGCCTGCGCTGAACGCTGCTGATGCTCGGCAGACTGGCTTCCACTTCCCTGAACAGAAGCAAATCCAAGAATCGTACGGCTTGCGGTCGGGAACTCTTGCTGGGCGTGCCGCGGCGGCAGCCCTGGCGACACGCTATGCCCTGCAAATAAATAGCATGTCGTTCCGCTCCACCGGGCGGCAGGCTTGAAAAGGCTCGGTACGTTGACGCTTGGGGACCGGGGACGTGGGTGGCGTGCAGAGCCGATGCGTGGTGGGCCAGAACTGGCGGCGCGACACGCTAAGCCAAAGCTCCTGAACAGATGCCCCTGCGCGCGAAACATGGTCCACATTTGAGCAGGGGCTGACCGTCACCGTATTCCTATGGGCCAACCACGACATGTTCTTAGAACCAGCAATTGTTCTGATAACAAGACTATTATTGGAACATCGATTCGATGTGTTAAAGCAAGACGGTCTCGTCCAGGAAAATGCTAAGAACATTTCGCGAAAGACCCAACAGGTTCTTCAGAACATTCTTTGGCGGGCCTACAGGTAAGCCAGGACCTTTCACCACTGCTTGACCCTGCGCGCGAACCATGGTCCACACTCTTTACCTGCGAGGCTGCGCCCTCGGCCGCCAGACTCCGCGAGGCCGAGCACCCTTGCGCACTCCCCCCAGCCTCGCGGACTGCGCGCGCGTCAGGAGCGCGTACCACAAGTCTCGGCGCTGCGACCGCCAGTTCCCCCTCCTCCCTTCTCCTCCCCGTTCCTTCCCCTCGGCCTCGACTCCTCTTCTTCCTCCTCTTCCATGTCCATGTTCCATGTCCTCATCCTCTTCCTCCTCCGCCTCCTCCCCTTCCTTTTCCACATGCTCCTCACCTTCCTCATCCTCTTCCGCCTCGTCCTCCGTCTATCTTCTATCCCTTACTCTGCCCCTTCTCATCCTCATTATCTTCCTCGGGGGGCCACCTTGGCAGGAGAAGAGCAGACAACACAAAGAACTCGATTCCCGAACTTAGAGCGAACTCGGCCATTCGGCTTTCGGTGCATGACTCGGGCCTCAAGCGGCCGTTCGGGACGATCCTGGCAACCCCCCAACGCCCCTCGACGAGGCGCACTTGACGGAAGGCACCGTGGAGCCCGAAGACTTCCACGAGCACCCAAACCTTCGAAAACCTTTCGAAAGGCCCAAAATCGTGTGGTGACGGACCGCACGGTGACCTCGGAATCCTCAACGACCTCACCACGCGGTCCGTCACCGCACGGTTTAGGAACCTCGAAGGCCACAATCGCCCGAGACGTCCTTGGTCTTCGGAGAACGGCCTGTGTCCCAAAACCATGCGGTGACCCCAGAGCCCCAATGATTGGCCGCGCGCACAGAATAGGGGGGGGAAGGCTTCGTAGAACGAAGCTGCTTCTCAGAAGGCGCCGGCCTGACGTTCACAGGGAAGGCCCTCGCCTTCTGAGCGGGGCTGCTTCTGCGAAGCCTCCCTGCGCGTGGCCAGCCAGAGCTGCTCGGTGATCCCGAGGTCCTGGCGGCTCACCACGCGGGCGCGGTCACCACGCCTCCCTGGGGCCCCCGAGGCCCGAGACCTCCTCCGGCCCTCGACCCTCCGCGGAAGAGCGCCTACGACCACCGGGCGCTCCACGATCACCTCGCGCACGACGGGCGCGCTCCGTGGGCCTGGCTGAGGGACGACGATATGACAGGATCGAGTATCGAGGATCGAACGACGATGATGAACCGAGAGGAGAATCGAGGATCGGGAGGGGATCGTGGAGGATCGGGGAGCATCTGGGAGGACGACGGGGTCGAGGGAGGGGGGGGGCAGAGGAGGATCGAGGATCGGGGGAGAGATCGTGGAGGGTCGAGGGGAGGATCGGGGGCCTGGATGTGCCGACCCCTATCCAAGGCTTTGGGAGGTTTCGAGTGGACCAGAAAGTTGGGGCCCTGGGATCACGCGTCCTGCTAGCCCCCTCGAGGTGTATCCCAGGGTTCTTTTTTTTCTGAGCGGCCGAACTTGTCGGGCGGAACTCGGAGATTGGGGGAGAAAAACCGCCTGCGACGATAAGGGATAGGGGGGACCAGCTCAGAGTGGTAAACATCGAGCTGGAATCGGCGATACATCGCCGATAGATCGGCGATGGGCTATGTTGGGTGACCCAAAATGGCGTCCAGCTGCAAGGGGTTGGTGCATTAGATTTGGGGCAATTGTACTGCAAATGTACTGCACCGGAGAATTGTATTGCATTGTATTGCAAGTAGTGTATTGCACGCGAAAATACAACAATAGATTTGCGCACCGAAATGTATTGCACGCCCCAAATGTACTGCAACCCCACAAATCTTTTGCACCGCCCCCTTGTCGCTGAACCCCCTGTTGGCTCAACCCGGGCTATAGGCCCCCGATGGCGAATCCGCACGTCCCTGGGAGGGTGGGCTACGGTTAAACAAAAAACTATGTAACAACAAGGCCCCAACTAGAAAGAACCACATCCCCCCTCCACCCCCTGGCATCAGCATTGGCAAATCTTGCGCTCGAGAAGTTGGGCTCAAGATTTGTCCGTCCCCGCTTCTCCGGGAACGCTACGCTTGTTCAGATCAAGGCTGGGGGGGCGGAGAGGGGTCGTGCGAGGCGGTTCATTAACGTCTGTTGCAACATTGTTTCCTCCAACGGTGTCGGGCCCCCATCCGCGATGCCTGAGCGATTGGGGGCCGCTGCATCCCCCCTCGGGGCCGATCCCCCCCCTGGCGTTGCCCCTGACTGGCGCGGGCACCGCGGCCGCCCGCCCACCCCCCTCTGGCCCGGCCATCGGCGGCACCCCCGCCGCCCGCCGCACGTCGCCGGGGCAGGGCGCGCTCGAGGCCCAGGCTCGGGGGGGGCAACCCCCCAGGACACGCGGCGCCTCAGCAGAACCGAGGCGGAGGTGGTTCCCACCTTTTTTGGTCGCTCGGGGCCCCTGCCGGGCCTCGGGAGCATCAGAAGACGACTCGGGATGAAACACCGGTCCCGGGAAAGTGGTCGAGAGGTCGGGGGCCCGCGTCTCGAAAGAGTCGGAACGCTGGAGGTCTGGGGCCCGGGGTCGAGAAGCAGGCCTGAGGGAGACGGGCCCCAGGGGAACCTGGGGGGGGGCAGAAATCGAGAGCCCATGTCTTGATTATTCGCGGTCGCGCCGGCGATTGGCCCCGTCCCCCGCCCCCTCCCCACCCGGGTCGCGTCGGGATTCGCGCCGGCGCCGTCTGGGAAGAGCCATTCCCAGGTGGGCGTCGCGTGATGGGGGAGCGATCAGTCGGGGGGCAGCGAGGGTTGCAGAAGAGGGTCCCTTTAGGGCCCCTCAAGGGGCCCTTTCGGGCCCAAAAGGGGGCCTTTAGGTCATGAGCAGTGAACCTTTCTCCCCCTCCCATTGATCGCCCCCCATTAATTTAACTTGCGCCCAACTCGGGCATTCCCCGACGGCGCTGGCGCGAATTGTGACGTGGCTGGCCCCCTCCGCCAGGTCACGCCCGTGATCGCTGGGGACGGAGCCAAAACTGCCCCCAAGCTGCCCGAGGCCTGCGACAACGGACGGGCAGCCTCCCTCGTGCGAGCCCCGCCCCTGCAGGTCAGACGTCTCCCAAAACTGGGTGAGGATCGGAGGGGGTCCTCCAGCCCGGCAATATAAGACGAAGCCAAGACGAGGACAACATCGGGTGAGGATAAATCGAGAATCTCTGAGATCCGGCGGCTCTGGTGGATGCCTCGGGCGCCGCGGCCTTCTCAGAGCGTTCCGGAACGCTCTCAGAGCGTTCTGGAACGTTATGGAACGGATTTGTCCTCGTCTTAGCCCCGTCCGGGGATACCCAGCAGGGGTCTCCGCTACCCCAGCGCCAAATGGGCCCGCAGGGATGCCCTGAGATCCTGAAGTCGCAATTTCTGCACGCTGGGCGCTTTTTCGCCTGGATTCTGGCCCTGGGGTTCTCGCAGGTCGATCCGACTCGAGAAACGCCGCCGAGAGATGGGCTCCAGGACTCCAGTCGTGAGTTCTCACGAGGCTGCCTTTTTTGTTCGCGACGTCGATCTCAGAGAAAGTTGTTCGCTGGTAGTTTTTTCGCTCAGGGAAGAGGTTCGACGACGTTTCAAAATCTGACTGCTGGATGCCCCCCGGGCCCCTCGGGACCGTCAGAAAAATACGTATGATGAAAAGATCTGCGAAGAGCTGTTCTCAACGCGCCCAAGTAGACGAAGCCGACACCGCGGCAAGCCCACGGCAAGCCTTGCGTCCGAGCCGGCGTTTGCCCTGTTGGCCGCGGCGCCCTCCCCAACACGCAAGGCCGCGCGTCGGACCAAACGGCGCGGCGCAGCTGGTCCCGGGGAACGCCCTGGGGTCCAGGACCCGTTTCTTCCTGAGGGCCCCGTTCCTTCAAGGCGAGAGGACGCAGGAGGATCGTTGTCCTGCGTCCCCAGAGGGCGGGGGCCCCTGGGGCCCAGACATGTCGACATCCTCCGCATCCCGAGGTCCACGAGGACTGGTCTCCCAGGCGGTGGGCATGGACGAATCCCCGCCTCGGACCCCGGGCCTCCCCCGCAGCCGCCCCGACGGCGCCCGAAGCTGAAGAGGAGGCGCAGGGACCTCTGGGTCTCCTGGGAGGGCCTCTCTGGCTGCGGCTGATCAAGCATGGGCAAGGCCAGCGAGCCTCAAGTCGGAAAATCGGATCGCATCGGACGGTGCGTCGGATCGGACTGCATCCGCACGAAACCGAGATCGATTCGGATGCCCCAGAAAAGATTCACAACATCGCCGTGCATTGAGCAGAGACCGACCGTGTCGGCATTCCTGCAGGCCTACAACGGAATGTCCTTCGAACCAAAGAACGTTATGATAACAAAAGCAGCGTTCTCATAACATTAACCAATTCAGTAAAACATGACAGTCTCAGCCAGACATGGTTTAAGAACACGTCGTGAAACACACAACAGGTACTTTCGACATTATGGGGTGGGCGTCGAAGGAAGCTAGCACGCCTCATCACTGCTCGAATGACGAACATCGCGCCGCATCGGATCATCAGAATCTCTGAATCGGGTCGGATCTAGCCAACCGGAATCGATATGGAGTCGCATCGATCGGATCGAAATGAACCCTTCGCGGTCGGGACCGCGTCGGGAAGGGATCCAGGTACCGATCTTGAACGAAAGTCAAGCCTCGCTGGCTTGACGACGACGACTCGACGACGTCCACGACCGACGACTGACAACAACCCGTTCAAACACTGTCCCGAGACCCCTCCCCGTATTTCGATACGATACGCGTCTGGCCACGGCGACAAGAACCTCCAGAGACGCCCGAGAGCATCCGAATATATGCTTGTCGTCGGCGTCGGCGACGGAGGCGACGACGGCGACGACGACGACGACGTTTACGACGACGACGACGACGACGACGGCGAAGACGACAACGACGACGGCGACGACGACAGTGGCGGCTGAGGCGGAAACGACGACGCCGCCACCTGCAATTTTCAGTCCCCCGGACCTGATCAGACATGATGGACGGAAGAGCGTCGATGCACAAGAGGAGGACAGAGGTCGCGCGGTTGGCAACACCCAATGAGGGCGAGGTACCGTTCGAGCCCCTATGGGCCACACTCCGCTGGCCCTCCCATCTGCTCAGCAGAACGGCGTCGGGTGCGTGGGATGCAGTTCCCAGAGAAGGGAACAATAAAACATGTGGATGTGGGAAAGGCAGAAAGGCAACTCTCCGCTGGACCGCCTAGAAGCGCAGAGAAGTATCGACAGCTGCGTAGTCGGCAGCAGACCAGCGGGGAGGGAGAGTCATTAGTTGAATCCGCATGTCCCCGCACTCCGCTGGGCCCCCCAGGAGTTCACGGAAGTGACCACCGTGGCGCAGTTGGCAACCACCCAGGGAGGGGCGTAATGTAAATCCGCGTGTCACAGCACTCCGATGGGCATCCCAGGAGCTCATGGAAGTGGCCACAGTTGCGCAGGAGGCAGGTAGGAGGTAGGAGGCAGGAGGAGGGAGGCAAAAGGAGGAAGAAAGAAGGAGGCGGGAGGGAGGCATGCAGGAGGAAGAGGCAGGTGGATGGGGAGGAGAAGGTGGGAGGAAGAGATGAGGACGGGAACAACAATCATCTATCTGTGACGGGTGCCCAGCGCAGGAGGGCTGGGATCACCCGGGGGGGCGACGGCTCAGAAATTGGCAGCACCAAGGGAGGCGAGGTAGAGCGGGCAGGAAGCAAGTGACATGTAGGCGGCAGGGTGGAAGACAGGTAGGATCGTAGAAAACAAGAGGAGGCAAGGAGGCGGGAGGAGGCAGGAGCAAACCCTCGAACCTGCTCCTCGACCCCCTCGTCGCCTTCCCCGTCTGGCGGCGACGGCGACGACGACGACGACGGCGACGACGACGACCGACGGCGACGACGACGACGACGACGACGTCCGACGAGTTCCGACGCCGACGACGACGACGACGACGACGTCCGACGACGTCCGACGACGACGTCCGACGACGTCCGACGACGACGACGACGACGACGACCACGACGACGACGACGACGACGACGACGACGACGACGACGACGACGACGACGACGACGACGACGACGACCCTGCCGCCGCCGCACTCCGCCGACCTCCGCACCGCTGCCTGGGCCTCCGCGGGGCCTCCACGAGGCCGCGCGTGGCGACGCCGCGGCGGCGCCGCCACGCAGGCCGCCGCGGCGCCGCCGAGGTCCCTCCGCGGGGCCGTCGAAGGCCGCGGGGCAGCCGCGGGGCCGCCGAGGGGCCGCCGAGGGGCCGCAGGGCTCGCGGCGGCGGCGGCCGGGGCGCCTGGGTCGGCGGGGAGCGGCGCGCCAGCGGGCGCGGCGGCGGTGGGCGGCGCGCCGGGCGCGGGGCCCAACGCCGAGGCCATGCGGCGAGCGGCCCCCTTGGCGCCGCCGCGGGGCCTCGTCGCCGTCCCTGAGATGCGGCGCCGGAAGTCGTCCTCGTCGTCGCAGGTCGTCGTCGTCGTCGTCGTCCTCGTCGTCGCAGGTCGTCGTCGTCGTCGTCGTCGTCGTCGTCGTCGTGGTCGTCGTGGTCGTCGTCGTCGTCGTCGTCTGGAGCCGATCCAGGAGTCTAAAACGTTGAACGCCATGGCCCCAGAAATGAGGCGAAGGTCGGGTCCTGGGGGCGTCCGACGATCGAACCGGGATGAAAGACCGGCTCGCGTGGACCCCTGCAGGGATCAGAAGGTTCCAAGAGCGAGTGAGCGTAGTCCGACCAGACAGCGCTTCTGGTGGCGTGGCGGAGGTCCCCTAAGCTGGCAGCGGTGCGGGTCCGGCACGGCCACGGACCAATTGCAGCATGCAGCGCGACCGAATAGATTTTGATACGCCGTCGGCGTCGTCGAGTCGTCGTTGCCGCCGCCGCTACCGTCGGCATTGTATCCACGGCCGCCGTCCTTGTCGTGGTCGTCGTCGAGGTTCAAGGTTGAAGGCTCGAGGTTTGTGGACGTATCGGGCCTTCATCGGGCCTTTGCGGGCCTTCGGGAGCCTCTGAGGACCCACACCTGGCCTCGGGCCATCGTCGTCAACGTCGTCCTTCGACTCCTCCCCTTCTGGGGGAGAATGACAGGGGGCGAGGAGGGGGAGCAAGGAGGCAAGGATGCCTCGTCGGTACGTAGTCAACGTCGTCGTCGTCGTTGCCACCGTCGTCGTCGTCGTCATCATCGTCGTCATCGTCAGTCGTGGTCGTCGTCGTGGTCGTCGTCGTCATCCGACGTCGCGGTCGTTGTGGTCGTCGTCGCCGTCGCCGTCATAACCGTCGGATGTTTCGTCGTTATCGTTGTCGTCGTCGGACAGCGGACGTCGTCGTCGTCGTCGGACGTTGTCGTCGTCGTCGCTGTCGTCGGACATCGTCGACGGACGTCGTCATCGGGCGTCGTTGACGTCACCGTCTTCGTCGTCATCAGCATCGGACGCCGTCATCATCGTCGGACGTTGTCGCCGTAGTCGGACGTCGCCGTCCTCGGACGTCGTCGTCGTCGCCGTATTCGGTCGACGTCGAAGGAGAGTATCGTCGACGTCGTAGTCGGACGTCGTCGGACGTCGTCATAACCGTCGGATGTTTCGTCGTTATCGTTGTCGTCGTCGGACAGCGGACGTCGTCGTCGTCGTCGGACGTTGTCGTCGTCGTCGCTGTCGTCGGACATCGTCGACGGACGTCGTCATCGGGCGTCGTTGACGTCACCGTCTTCGTCGTCATCAGCATCGGACGCCGTCATCATCGTCGGACGTTGTCGCCGTAGTCGGACGTCGCCGTCCTCGGACGTCGTCGTCGTCGCCGTATTCGGTCGACGTCGAAGGAGAGTATCGTCGACGTCGTAGTCGGACGTCGTCGGACGTCGTCATAACCGTCGGATGTTTCGTCGTTATCGTTGTCGTCGTCGGACAGCGGACGTCGTCGTCGTCGTCGGACGTTGTCGTCGTCGTCGCTGTCGTCGGACATCGTCGACGGACGTCGTCATCGGGCGTCGTTGACGTCACCGTCTTCGTCGTCATCAGCATCGGACGCCGTCATCATCGTCGGACGTTGTCGCCGAAGTCGGACGTCGCCGTCCTCGGACGTCGTCGTCGTCGCCGTATTCGGTCGACGTCGAAGAAGGTTGTCGTCGACGTCGTAGTCGCCCACGCGCGGCCATTTGCGGTCGTGGTCGAAGTCGACGTCGTCGTCGTCGTCGTCCTCGTCCTCGCCGTTCGTCGTCGTCATCGAAGTCGTGGTCGGCGTCGCTGTCGACGTTGTCGCCGTCGCCGTCGAGACGTCGTCGTCGTCGGACGTCCTCGTCGCCGTCGGTCGTCGCTCGGCGTCGTCATCGTCATCGTCGTCGTCGGACGTTGTCGTCGTCGTCATCGAAGTAGTCGGACGTCGTCGTCGTCGGACGTCGGACGGTGCCGTCGCCGTCGTCGGACACCGTCGAAGTCGTCAGCGTCGTCGTTGTCCTAATCGTCTTCGTCGTCGCCGTTGTCGGACACCGTCGTCGTCGACGTTGTCGTCGGACGTTGTCGCCGCCTGTTCATCGCCGTTGTCGTCGTCTGACGACGTCACCATCGTCTGCTCAACGACAGGGCCCCACGCGCGGCCATCGTTCGAAGTCGTCGTCGTCGTGGGGCGACGTCGGACGTCGTCGTCGTCGTCGTCGAACGTCGTCGTCGTCGCCCTCGTCGTCGTCGTCGAAATCGTCGTCGGCGTCGCCGTCCTTGTTGTCGCCGTCGTCGTCGGACGTCCTCGTCGCCGTCGGAGGTTGTCGTTCGGCGCCCTGGTCGCCATCGTCATCGTCGTCATACGTCATCGTCGTCGTCATCGAAGTGGTGGGACGTCGTTGTCGTCGGACGTCGGACGCCGTCGCCGTCGTCGTCGTCGTCGTCGTCGTCGTCGAAGTCGTCGTCGGCGTCGTCGTCGGACGCCGTTGTCGGCGTCGTCGTCAGAACTCGTCATTATTGTCGGACGCCGTCGTCGTCTTCGTCGGTCGTCGTCGTTGGACGTCGTCCCCGTCTGCTCACGCCGTCGTCGTCGTCGGACATCGTCGCCATAGTCTGCTCAACGGCAGGGACGTCCACGGACGTCGTCGATGTCGTCGTCATCGTCGTCGGACGTCGTCGTCATCGCACCTCGTCGTCGTCGTAGTCGTAGTCGGCGTCGTCGCTGACGTTGCCGTCGTCGTCGGCGTCGTCGTCGTCAGGACGTCGTCGTCGTCCTCGTCGGACGTCCTCGTCGTCGTTCGGCGTGGTCGTCGTCATCGGACGTTGTCGTCGTCGTCGTCGTCGTCATCGAAATCGTCGGACGTCGTCGTCGCCAGACGTCGGACGCCGTCGTCGTCGTCGTCCTCGTCATCGTCGTCGTCGAAGACGCCGTCGGACACGGTCGTCGTCGGACGTCGCCGTCGTTCTTGGATGCCGTCGGCGTCGTCGTCGGACGTCGTCGTCAGACGTCGTGTCCGCCTGTTCGTCGTCGTCGTTGTCGTCGGACGTCGTCGCAATCGTCTGCTCAACGGCAAATTCCCCGCGCGGCTGTCCGCGGTCGTCGTCGGATGCCGCCGTGACCGTTGTTGTCGTCGTCGTCGTCGTCGTCGTCGTCGTAATCGTCGTCGTCCTTGTTGTCGTCGTCGTCGGAGTCGTCGTCGACGTGATTGTCGTCGTCAGGACGTCGTCGTCCTCGTTGGACGTCCTGATCGTCGCATGGCGCCGTCGTCGTGCGACGTAGTCGTCGTACGTCGTCCCCGCCTGCTGAACGTCGACGACGCCGTCGAACGTCGTCGCCATCGTCTGCTCAACGGCAGGGCCCCCGCGCGGCCGTCCGCGGTCGTAGCGAAGTCGTCGTCGTCGTCGTCGCTATCCAAGTCGTCATCAACGCTGTCGTCGTCGTTGTCGTCAGGACGTCGTCGTCGCAGGACGTCGTCGTCATGGTCGTCGTCGTCGTCGTCGTCGAAGTCATTGTCGACGTAGTCGTCGTCGTCGTCGTCGTCGTCGTCGTCGTCGTCGTCGTCGTCGCCCTCGTCATCGTCGTCGTCGTCGTCAAGGCGTCGTCGTCGTCATCGTCGTCGTCGACAAGACGACGTCGTCGTCGGACGTTCTCGTCGTCATCTGGATGTCGTCGTCGTTGTCGGACGTCGCCCCGCCTGCTCAACGTCGTCGTCGTTGTCGTCGGACGTCGTCGCCATCGTCTGCTCAACGGCACGGCCCCCGCGCGGCCGCCCGCGCGGCCGCCCGCGCGGGCCGCCCCCCACCCCACCCCACCCCACCACGCGGTCGCGCCCCTGGGCTGTCGCGAGTTCAGTGTCCGGGGTGTCAGAGTGGCACCGCCGAGGGGCAGGCGTCTTGGGGGGATGGGGCCTCCCCCCTCGACTCCGTCCGTCCTCCCCTCCCCCACCTCCCTCCCTCCCTCTGCCTCTGGGTGGCCTGCCAAGAAACGCTTGCGTCTTTGAACATTTCAGGACGGAGGCTGTTCGCCGATTTCGGCCTCTGGCGGCCCTCGCTGGGCCTCGGGACAGTCAAACAACGACCCAGGATGAAAAGGTGGTCCTGGGGAGAGGGTCGGGACTTCCCTCCGCACCCCTGCTTCCTCCTCCTCCTTCTCCGCCTCCCCCTCTGCCGCCATCCTCTTCCTCGCCTGGTCCTCACTGCAGCGCGCTCCTCGTCGGCACTCGGCCCCTCCCCTCCCCTCCCCCCTTCCCTCTCCCGCTAACACCTGCACGCGGCGCTTGTCCACACAGTGTGACAGGGGCCCAGGGACACACACAAAGAAATAAGCACAAATCCCAGGATCCGCCAGTTTCCACGCGTTCTCGCGAATCGACGATTCGTTATTCTGTATGTTTTTCTCTTCCCCAAACGTCAGCGGCCTCCTCCTCTGGGTGCAGCCGCTCTGGCAGGCCACCGGTGCCCCCCTCCGCGCTGGATGGTGAGCCGCTCGCCCACCCCCATGACGCCGGCCGGCCTGCGGAGGCCGCCGGGCCGTGGAGAGTCCTAAAAAAACAAGCACGGCCTCTCCCCAAAGCGCCCGCCCCTCGGCCATGCGTGAACCAGCTTCGAGCGTGTCCCTGTCCCAGAGACCAGCAAGCCCAAGGCGATGCCAACCTTACACGTCGGTCGGAAGAGGTAGGTGGAGACATCAAGTAGGAAGGCGGATACAGTAGATTGGATGCAGGCCCTCCAAGGGAACAACAAAAGCACATCAAAACCATGCCGAATCTTGAAGTAGGAAGGCGCTAGAAGTAGGTTGGCATCTGGGTATCCAGCAGTACCTACCTTCAATGACCGACGGGCAGGAGTGTGCCCTCGGAAGCCAAGGCAGTCCTTCAGGTCGGCACCGGGGTGAGGTGATGCCAAAAATTAGGGGCAGGGATACGCTTCAAGCTGGTAGCATACACGAAGCAAGGGCTCGAGCACCAACGCGCCCTGCGGACGAGCCGGGCGCCGCAGCGGTGCACCGTGGAGCGCAGGACTGGGCGGAGGGCAGGAGGAGCGAAGGCGGGGGCACAGCAGACACCACACGACAGGGAGTGCTGCCAAGAGGCACCTCGGGGCACACGATTCGCCGACCTCTGCGGGCCCCGAGGTGCCTCAGAGCTTCTGTGGGCCGCCCGGGGCCATCGGGGGAACAGAGATGTCCACGGGGAGGGAGGGACCGAGTCAGATACAGTGGAGGCTATTCCACAAGAAACCGTCCGCGAGAAACCCAACCCTGAGACCCCAGGGCGTGCATTGATTTTTGGTGTGGGTACGTCACGCGTTCCACCGCAAAACCATCGAAACCCAAGAAACCCAGGGCAACCTGGAGGCAAGCACGGTGTTCTTGGCATGGGCCTCCACTGTACGTATGAAATGGGGAGGGAGAGAGGAGATGGGAGGAGGAGAGGGAGAAGGAGCAGCAGCAGCAGCGGCGGTGGCAGCAGCAGCAGCAGCAGGTCGACAACAAGGGCGGTAAAACAAGGATGACGAGGGGCCTGACTCGACCGATAGCGCAGGAAGGAGGAGGGCGACGATGAGGACGAAGAGGACGACTGTGCTATGAAGGATGATGTGCATAGTGATGTTTGAAAGATGTGTTCTTGTAAGCACGACGTACTCCCAAAACAATTCTATTTCATCCGGGTTGGATGCGTCTGCGACCCATGTCAGGCTTAGACGTTGTGTCTCAAGGACATGGCATCTACGGTCTACGGAAACCAGGGCCCCTGACAAAGTAAAGCGTTCCTCATCCCGTCGCCACGACAATGGAGACGTGGGAGAGGCTGAGCGATGGCAACGACAATCTTGATGCAAGCCCTGCGCACTAGACCATGGTCAGCCAATGCGCGGCGGCACGACCCAGCCTGGAGCTGCAGAGGAGAAGGACAGGAGGGAGAAAGGGAGGCAGAGCAGGGAGGAACGAACAGGACGAGCAGCCGACGAGAAGCGGGCTCCGAGCACGAAGCCGCCCTCTGCCCGCGGGCGCGCGGCGCACCTCAGGCGGCGCGCAGCAGACGAGGAGAAGCAGGCAGGGAGGATCGAAGGAAAGGGTTTAGGGAGCTGCGACGAGGCGGCTCCGATCCGCTGCCGCCTGGAGCCCACGCGCGCGCTTGGCGAAGGCCCCGCGCGCGCACGCCCGCGCGCGCGAGCCTGCCTGATGCGCCGGCGCGCGGTGTGCCCGCCGGTGGGGCGCGACAGGCTGATCTCCGACCTCGGCCTTCGACCCTCGACGGCCCAGTTGTCCTCGACCGAGCGGCGTCGGTCGACCGATCGAACGAAGACGACGACCGCCGCGGGGGGAGCGCGACCCCGTGGGGGGATGGTGGTGTTGACTCCGCTGGACTGACGCCTGCCCGAGGCGCCAACGTGCCACACAGTCCTTGGGCCCAGGATGCCGCAGAGAGGAGAGCCTGGTCGGGGGTGGACGAAAGCTCCTTTAGCAACACACCCTCCCATGAAAACGGCCCCGGGCCAGAACTGGCGGGCGCAGGCCCGCAACAACTGCGCTCGCAGCGCCCTCTCGACATCTGAAACAAAAACACTTCGCCAATCGATTCGATCAACCTCCGACATTGGCCGTTGGCGGCGGCCGAGAGGTCTGAGCCGGTTGGGCCCTGATAAAATCGGTCAAACAGGGGGGGAGGAGGCAAATCAGCTTGGTCTGTGCCCTTCCCGGGATCCATGTGGTGGAATTTGTCATACTCGATCCGTTCTTGCTGGCACCCAGGCTCGAAGACTGTCCCTAGACACCGCAAAGGGCAAAACGGCTCCTCGAACCCAGCGCGTCAAACCTGCCGACCCCCCTCTTTCCCCCTCCCCCGCCCTGCCGGTCAAAACGGAAGCACATCTGGCTGACTTCAAGCCCAGGCGGTCTCTGGAGACCACCCCGCGCGAGGCCCAAGAGGGAAGGGGGCCCAGGACTAAGATGTCCCAACCTGCTTCAGCCTTGATCACCAGGAAGAACTTCGACGAGTCCCCGGAAAGTATCACAACTGGACGCATCGGGATCGCATCCTGGCAGCCCCTGGGCTGCGGGCGGGCGGGCTCCTTGCCGTTCCCCGGCCTGGCCCGCCGCTCGCCCACCCCGGGGGGGGGGCGAGGAAGCGGAGGAGGAGTTTTAAACCCGCGTGCTCCCGCCCGTGAGTGGGCGCCCCTGGTCTCGGCACCCCGCGCAGGCAGAACGGCCCGAGGCGGGGCGGGCCAGCGGCCTCATCTCACGGCGTCGTACTGCCGCCACTCAATGACTCATGGAGTCGCCCCGTGAGCGGCGGCAGTCTGAAGATATGCTGCCGCCGCCCTCTCAGAGCTTGAGGAGCAGCCTGATGGGCGGCCGCAGCCGCTCCTCCGCTCTGCGCTCTTCCAGGGACCGCCCTGGCCGCTGGCCCCTGGACTCGCGGGCCTTCACGGCCGCCTTGCCTGGCGCAGAGCTGTGGCCTAACCCCTCGCCACGCTGGGGTGCATTGCGGCCTAGCCCCTCGCCGCGCAGGGGTCCTCCGTGGCCTAACCCCTCGCGCCGCTGGGGCCTGCTGCGGTCTGGCCCCTCACCGCGCTGGGGTGCTCCGTGGTGGCCTAACCCCTCGCCGCGCAGGGGTCTGTTGCGGTCTAACCCCTCACCGCGCTGGGGTCCGTCGTGGCCTGGCCCCTCGCCACACTGGGGGTCGGTGCGGTCTAACCCCTCACCGCGCCGGGGAAAATCGTGGCCTAACCCCTCGCCGCGCTGGGGGCTGCTGCGGTCTAGCCCCATCACCGCGCTGGGGTGCTCCGTGGTCTAACCCCTCGCCACGCAGGGGCCTATTGCGGTCTAACCCCTCACCGCGCTGGGGTCCCATGTGGCCTAACCCCTCGCCACGCAGGGGCCTGCTGCGGTCTAACCCCTCACCACTATGGGGTCCGCCGTGGCCTAACCCCTCGCCACGCTGGGGATCGTTGCGGTATGACCCCTCACCGCGCTGGGGTACTCCGTGGCCTAACCCCTCGCCACGCTGGGGCCTGCTGCGGTCTAACCCCTCACCGCGCGGGGGTACGCCGAGTCTCGCACTGTCCCCGTCCTCGGTGCTACTGCCCACTGGCTCGGGCGAGATCCCCCGACTATGCCTCTCGCTGTGTTCGCGGTTCACGTGGTATCCGCGGGCCGAGCCCTCCCCCTCGCGTTCAGTCTGTCGGTTTCCCAGGGTATGGGTCCGCTCTGTTAGTTGCGAGGTCCTGTCTACCACACTGTTGGTCAAAAGGTCCGCGTCATGCTCACTGGGCTCGTCAGGGACCTCCGCCTCGAGCCTCTGATTGCCTTTGGCACTGCGGCCTAACCCCTCACCGCGCTGGGGATTGCCGTGGCCTAACCCCTCGCCACGCAGGGGTTCCATGCGGTCTAACCCCTCACCGCGCTGGGGAAAGTCGCCGAAAAACTTCTCCAAGTCCCGCTGCAGGTCTGTGTCGTCGTAGTCTGCCGTCGTCTCGGGCTGCGCTGTTTTGTGGCCTAACCCCTCGCCACGCGGGGGAGCGAAGAGTCTCGCACTGTCCCCATCCTCGGTGCTACTGCCCACTGGCTCGGGCGAGGTCCCCCGACTATGCCACTCGCTGTGTTCGCGGTTCACGTGGTTTCCGCGGGCCAAGCCCTCCCCCTCGCGTTCAGTCTGTCGGTTTCCCAGGGTATGGGTCCGCTCTGTTAGTTGCGAGGTCCTGTCTACCACACTGTTGGTCAAAACGTCCGCGCCATGCTCACTGGGCTCGTCAGGGACCTCCGCCTCGAGCCTCTGCTTGCCTTCGGCACTGCGGTCTAACCCCTCACCGCGCTGGGGTCCTCCGTGGCCTAACCCCTCGCCGCGCTGGGGTCCTCTGCGGTCTGCCAGGTGGTACCCTATGCTGTGCTGTACATCTGGGATCTGCTGGTGGTTGTCATCGCTGTCCTGCTTGTCTACGGGCTGCTGGAGGCAATCCTCGCTGAACTCCTCTTCAAAGAAGTGGTCGAGGTCTGCCATGTCCATGGTGCTCCGTCCTGCTGGTGGGGGACGGGCACCCCTCTGCATCCCGTCTGGCGCAGGGCTGTGGCCTAACCCCTCGCCACGCTGGGGTCCTCTGCGGCCTACCCCCTCGCCGCGCAGGGGTCCATGGTGGCCTGTCCCCTCTCCGCACAGGGGCCCGCTGGAGGGTTTCTGCTGCTCCTCCGCCCTTCCCGCCTCCAGGGGCCGCTCTGGCTGCGGTCCCCTGGGCCCCCTGGGCCTCTCGAGCTCGGGCGCTGGCGTTGCCGTGCGCAGCCCGGCGGGGCTGCTGGTGGCCCTGGCCTCTGGGTTCCTCCTCGGCTGTCTGGCTGGAGCCCTGCTTGGCACTCGCACTGCTGCTTGCGGTCGCGGGCTGCGGCTCCTCACCACTGGCTCAGTCACGCCCAGGAACTGCTCAGCCATTGCTCTGCGCCGCTCTGCCTCCTTCGGGTCCTGCTGCTGGATCTGCCTGCGCGCCTCTCCGCTGTTGAGCCGTGCCAGGCGGCAGATCTCCTCCGCCGCTCGGCGCTGGCTGCGCTGGCGGCTCGGCCCTGACACGTTGCTGAACAGCCTCTGGTAGACACCAGTCTGCAGCGCCCTCAGCACATGGGGCACGCACGCAGCCTGCCGCGATGGCCAGCCCTGTTCGCCCTCTTTCTGGCTCCAGCAGCCTGCCAGCGACTGCATGAGCTGCTCGAGCCTGTTCCTCTCGAGCCACGCCACCTCCTGCTCGGGGTCCTGGTCAGCTTCTCCTTTGTTGTGTCGAAGCCTTGGGTGGAGCAGGCCGGCCTCATCGGCTTCGCTCACGAACTTCATCAGGTCGGGCCCCACTGGCTTGGTCAGCGTTACTGCCACCTGCACAGCCGTCTGCATCAGGCTGTTGGCGTCGTGCCTCTGTTCAGGTCCTGCCATGGTCTCCATCTCCTGGTTGCTCGGCTCACCCTCCAGCTCTGGGGCTTCACTGTCTGGGGTCGAGTCATCATCGTCCAGGTTCTCTGGTGACCACTCTCGGCTGGCCTCCGCTGTTCTCGGCAGCGGCCTGCGCTCGCTGCTGGGGATGCTGTGCGCTAGGATGTTGTTCCTTCTGTTCTGGAAGGCGTCCATGTGCACTCTTGCTGCCTGCTGCCTTGTACCGTACGGGAGGGTCAGCATCCTGGTCATGAGCCTCCGTCGCGTGCGGTGCGTGTTGCGCCAGACTTCTTCGCAGAAGTCCTTGATCTGCTGAAGCTCCTGCACGGTGACGGCCCTGGTCTGCTCTTGCGTGTCCGTTCCGCCACCCACATTGGTGATGGCCAGGAGGTACGGTACGCAATGCTCCATCCAGTCGTCCATGTCGTCCCAGACCTCTTGGTCGACCATGTTCATCCACTGCTCCGCGTAGCCCTCCATGTGGTCCACGAGACTCCAGCTGGCGTGGACGACAGAGTACGGATGGCTGGGTGGCTGCTGTGGAGCTGGCTGCGGGTCCCCTGCCTCTGAGCTGCCCCCGTCCAGGTCGATCGCCTCGTGGTTACTCAGGCCGAGCTTGAAATCACCAGGCATGGTGATCTCGTTGAGACCCTCATCAGCTGGGTCTGCTGCTGGCTTAGCTCCTCTTGGCAGCTTGCCCCTCTGCGTGTCCGCCAAGACCCGCCGCCCTGCTGCTGTTGGGGGCTGGCATGGCCTTGCCAGCTTCCTTGCCACTCCTGCCACGATCCTGCTCTTGTGGTCCCCAAGGTAGCTGGTGCCGCCACATTTCTCGCACCAGAGCCAGCCATGGGTGAACTGCGTCTTGTGGGAGACGTGCACCACCTGCGTGCCGATCTGCACCGCCTTGAAGTCGAGCCTGACGTTGCCGTGCTGGTCCTGGTGGCCGCCGTACTTCCCGAGGCATTCTCCCGTCTCTGCCAGCCAGTCTCTGATGCTTTGTCCTTTGGCTGGGCCACTGCGACACGTTGCACACCACCATCGCGGATGTAGCTTGCGCAAGTCGTGTCCCAGCTGGGCTGCCCTGTCCCTCGCCGTCTGCGGCTTTCGGCGCTTGGCCTTGGGACGCTGAGGGGCCTTGTTGGGGTCCTCCACCGTCACCGCCATGTTGATGGCCGGTGATATGGTCCCTGATCTGCTGCTGCGCGATGATGGCTGGATCCAGTGCTCCATGCTCCGCTCCCCAGCCTGCGTACTTGTCTGCCATCTCGTTTCCTATGACCCACCAGGTGGGACCATTCCACCTCTCCAGCTCGGCTGGGTGCTCAATCAGGTGGCTTGGGATGTGGTGGCCCATGATGGTGTCCGTGCTGTTCTGCAGCTGCTGCTTCGTCTGGAGCCAGAGGTCGTAGTTCGTGCTCCTGTAGTCCAGATCCTCAGGATCCTGGATCTGCTTGAGTGCGTCCAGGGCGTACTTGCAATCGCTGACTATGTTGAGCCCCCTGGCTGTCGCCGCCGTGGTGTACCCGATGGCTTTGCTCATGGCGGTGAGCTCTGCCCGTGGCACCGTGTGCGGTGCCCTGATCGTGCCGTACCAGGCGGCCACTTCCTGCGGACGTCCTTGTTCGTCGAACCTGAAGGCCACCACTGCCCAGCCGCAGCGTCTGAGGCGGGGGTCCTTGGCCGTTTCCCCTGCACCACCTGAGCCGTCCGTGAAGACATAGTCTGCTCGAACCTTGTACCCTGACTGGGCTGCCGCCTGAGCCTCTTCGCTGGTGCAGAAGATCTGCGCCGCCTTCGCCGCGTCCTCGTCTGGGTCGACCTTGGCTGCCCAGGCCGCTGGCGGGATGCCTCGGAGCCAGAAGTGCAGGCATTGCCGCTGGTCCAGCGCGTCCTTCGCCTTCTTCGCCAGGTCGGTGTCACTGCTGTGCCCTATCTCTGCGTTGGCAGGGCATGCGTAGTAGCGGTGTTCCTCTGTCTCTATCGCCTCGCCGCATCTCGCGCAGGTGTCGTCGCCTTCTTGGTTGAGGTTGGCCGCCCTGCGACGCTCCCTGGTCCAGATGCCCGCCACCGCTATGGTCTCCAGCATGGCTGCCTCTGCATGCTGTCCTTTGCGCCTCCTCCTCCTCAGGTGGCGCTGCAGCTGATAGAGGTCGCCTCCAGCCTGAAGTCCCTCTCCACTGCGATGGCCAGCTGCCTGCTGCCAGAGCTGCTGCTGCGCGCTCTGCTGGACTTCATGCAGGAGCGCGCCGAAGTGAGGAATGGCATCTGGCTTGTAGGCCCACTCGTCACCTGCTGGGCTGATCCAGCTGTCCAGGCGTCGCGGTATCCAGCCTGACCCAAGCAGCTGCGCGATGACCCCTGCCATAGGCCCCTTGACCTGCTGCCACCTGCGGTTGGGTTCCAGGGCGCCCAGCTTGGCGTAGAGCAGGAGCCAGCCTCCCTGGTACCTCTTGAGCTCCGTCGGGTGGTCGACTATGGTGAGCCGGAACTGCTTGATCTGGTCACCGATGGCTCGGGTTACTGCCTCTTGCATTCCCCTCTGGATCAGGAGGATGGTGGACGTGCAGCGTCCAGCCATATGCCCGCCTGTGAGGAGCGCTGCCTCCGTAGCCCTGACCGACTTCGCCTCCGTGGGCGTGATGCCGTGCGCTGGTAAGTCCCAGGCCTGCTGGCAGTAGGCACCTGCTGAATAGACCTTTGCCGCGCCTCTGGCGTCCGTCTTCGCTAGGTCCTTGAGCTTGGCCACCATCTGCTTGGCCTTGGCCTGGCGCGCGGCATGGGTGGGTCGCCGCAGCTGCTTGCCGAGGCTGGTGTCCACGCCGAGGTCGCGCACTACACCTGGTTGCTTGTTGGGGGTGCCCAGGCTGTCCAGGATGCTGGCGACTTCTGCCTGGAGGTCCTTGTCCGAGGCCACCACTGCCGTCTTGACGGAGATGGGTATCGAGAGCTGCTTGAATCCATCGTGCACCAGCGCTGCCACGTGCTTGATCTGGTCAATGACCTGCCGCCGCGCACCCTCTACCTGCAGGGCCAAGTCGTCCAGGTACTGCTGCATGACGACGAAGATGTGGTGCCTGTGCGCTGCATCCAGGATGCCATACAAGAGCGGTCTGGTGAGATCGACCGCTTGGCCACAGCCAGCTACCATGCTGTTGGCAGGCTCGAAGATGTCCGAGAAGAGGCTGTGGGCCATGATGGCCCTGGGCGCAAGGTACCTCTGCACGGCCATTGCCAGCGGCAGCAACGGGCACTGGAGGGCGCTGGCCTTCTCGATCAGCTGGTCGAGGCCTATGTTGTCGTAGAAGTTTGCCGCGTCGTAGAAGACTCCTGCTGCATGAAAGCCCATATCCGTGGCGGCTTCTGCCCTCATCAGTCTGTGCATTGCCACTCGTAGCGCTGAGGAGCCAGCTACTGCCGTATCCCAGAAGCCCGCCGCTGCCTTGCTCCAGGTGGCTACTATGCGCCTCCTGGCTGCGCTCCAGATGCGGCACGGCATGGGCATGAGGCCGATGGGGCGCTCACCGCCGATTCCTGGCTTCTTGCCCAGCAGCAGCTCCAGCACCAAGTAGAATTGCCACGGCCACGCTGCCCGTTGCTCACGGCTGGTCAGGCACTGCACGAAGTCTTCCAGCCCCTGGGCGCCCATGGCCTTGAGCTCTGGAGCCCTCCACCAGTCCGCTCCTTGGCCAGCATTGCGCTTCAGGTGCTGGATGGTGGAGCCGATGATGTCCTTGCTGATGGGCTCGAGGGCATTTTCTTGGGCCAAGGCAGCCTGCCTCAGCTTGGCCAGCGCCTCTTGGGTCCTCTCGGCCTTCTGCGCATCTCGTGTCCACCTGCGTTGCCATCCATGCCTCTTTGCGCAAGTCCACCAGCTGCTGCGGGTGGTTGATGACCTGGCCCTCGTGCTCAAGGATGTCCTCCAGGTGGCTGCGCTCCGCTGCCTTGGTGTAGGCGTGGGCCATCTTCGCACTGCCTGCCGTGGCGTCGTGCACCCCGTAGATGTACGCCTTCTTCACCGCCTTTGTGAGTAGCTTGGCCATGCTCTTTACCTCCTCTGCTACCCTGCTGATCGTCCCTGGGTCCACGAGGGCGCCCTCTGATATCGCGTGCAGGTCTGTGAGGAGGGCCTGCTGCTGGTCCTTGGTTGCACCTTCTTCTCTCAGCCTGCCTGGGTCAGGCTGGTTGAGCTGCTGCGCGAGCTGCCGTCTTGTGTTGATATGCTGCTGCGTCTGGTGGCCGCTGTGGGTGCGGACCTGCAGCTCTCGGCGGCTACTCGGGCCACTGCCTGTTCCTGGAGCATCATGTAGTTGTCTTCGCGCTGCTCCTTCTGGTGCTCGTTCGCCTATAACTTCTCGCATAGACCTCCGCAGGTTAGCAAGCTCCCTCCAATGCATCATTTCCAATTCGTGCCTCCTCGTCGGCTCCTCTCGCGTAAGACCTTGGAGAAAGCCTCGGCGCCGTGGTTCTGCATGTCTCCATGCTCGCTCGCAGAGCTCCCTGATGATGTGGCTGAGGCCGGCCTGCTGGTACCTACGCCTGAGCAGTCTCACCATGCCATTGTTGCCTCCGCCACCCAGGATGGTCTCCAGGAGCGGCACACAGATCTGCATCCAGTTGCTGTTGTCCGTGGGGAGCTGCACCAGGTTATCCATCCAGATGGCCGCCCAGTACTCCAGGTCGTCTCTCATGGCCACGTAGTCTTCCCGCTCCCGCTAGTGCTGGTCATCATTCCAGAGGTCTGGTGGGGGCAGGCCCATATCTCGTGGCTCCTCTTCCTCTGGGCCTGGCGGCGCTTGGTTCTGACTCCCCAGGTGATCGGTACCCTCTGCCTCCAGAGTGCCAGCTGGCTGAGGAGGTGAGCAGTGCGTGTCACCTGGGGCAGTTTTACCATATCCAGCTGCATGACGACGAACGGTCTGGCCGTAGTCGATGCTGTCCTGCTGCCCCTCGATGAGCTGGTGGTGCCCGTCGCAGTCCTCCTGATATGCAGTCTCCTGGCGGTACTGCAAGCAGTCCTCCTCCTCCTCGAAAGGGTCGTGGTCTTGGACGTCCATGGTGCTGCGTCCTGCTGGTGGGGGACAGGCAGATCCAGCTGCACGACGGCGAACGGTCTGGCCGAACTCGAGGCTGTCCTGCTGCCCCTCGATGTGCTGGTGGTACCCATCGCTGTTCTCCTGGTCTGCGATCTCCTGGCGGTACTCCAAGTAGTCCTCCTCATCCTCGAAGGGGTCGTGATCTTGGATGTCCACGGTGTTGCGTCCTGCTGGTGGGGGAAGGGCACCCCTCTGCATCCCTTCTGCGCAGCTGTCTGCGCTGCTGTGGGTTGGTCCCACGTCGAGGTCTGGGACGCGTCCCGTGGCGGCGCACTCGGGGGACGGGAACCCCTGACCCATCTCAGAGCAGGGGCCAGCTGCCTTCCCATGGTCCGCTGCGCTCGCCTGTGTGGGGGACGGGTACCCCGAGGAGAGTGCGGAGGGGCCTACCTCTTTCTCTGGGCCAGGCCGCCTCGCCCTCATCTCTTGGAAAGCTGCGCCCGTCTCGGAGGTCCAGGACGCGTCCTTTGGCGGCGATGCTGGGCTGAGGCAGGGTCGCTCTGGGCTCTCTTGGGCTGGCCCCTCTGTGAGCTCCTGGACCTCAGCCTGAGGAGGGGAGACCTCCACAAGTGCTGGCTGATTCGCGATGTCCTTGGTGCTACTGCCGCCGCCTCCTGCTGCGCCTCCTCTGCCTGCGCGCCGCCGCTGCAGCTCGGGGGGGCCCTCGCCCCGCTCGGTGGGGGCGCGATCCCCCGAGCTTCCTCCCGAGCTCTTCGATGGGCTCATGGCTGGTGCGGGAACCCCGCCTTCGTGGCCCACCTGGCTGCCAGACATGACGGGGCCAAGCTCCGGCGCCGACAGGCCCTGTCCACCTCCTGAGTCCTCATCGGGAAGTGCCTGGGTCTTGCCCTGTCGACTTGCTGCTGCCTCCTGCGCTCGGGCATCATGGTGCGAGAGCTGCCGCACCAAGGAGGAGATCTCCGCCCACCACGCGTGGATCTTCCTTTCGACCCCTGCCCATGGCGTAGAGGTGACGGTGTCCTTGATGCTCACGCTCTTGTAGCTCGGGGGCCTGCTGTGCCCGAGATGTCGTCTACGCTCTTCCTCTGGGATGCCGATGCTCTCGCGCAGGCTGAGCTCGAGGGTGCTTGCGAAGCGGTCGTACTGTTGCCCCAGGTCCAGCATGTCCCGCTCCATCATCTTGCCGACGACTGCGCGCTGCAAGTGCTGGGGCAACTCGTCGCAGGCGCGCGCGCTGACCCGCTCGGAGGTGGCCTGCCACAGCTCGTCAGGGATGACGTGCTGGACCTCCTTGTCGTAGTACAGCTGCGGCACTGGCTCCATGTCGTTCTCGTCCAGGTCGCATCCTGCCTCTGCCAGCGCTTGCTGACGCCGGCGCATGGCCTCCTGGCCCCCCCGCGCCGCTCGTCTGCAAGCGGCTCTGGACCTCGGCATTCTCTCGACTGTGACTGGCGGCTGTATGGCTGCTGGCCTGCGAAGTACCCTGCCCTCGAGCATGAGAGGCCGCCCCTTCAACTTCAAGCGGATGCCGATGTGCGGCTTCCACGGCACGGTCCCGAGCAGCTCCAGCTGGTCGAAATACGGCGCCAGGCCCTGCGAGATCAGCGCGAAGTCGATGCACCGGGCTTCACCTACTGCTGGGAAACATGTGGGGGCGCCATCCTCCGCCGCAGCTACTTGAGCACTCAGCGCCCTGGGCCAAATTCTGTTGTTGAGCTCCGACGGCGTCATGTTGAAGTCCCCAAGCGCTGCCCAGGGCCCTCCCCAGACGGCCATCTTCCCCCGCAGGTCGCAGAGGATGTCGACGTTCCTCTCTCCAAAGCCCGTCCCACACTCAAGGTAGACGAAAGCCACTGCGAAACGGACCTTGTGCAGGTTGGAGATCACCACCGCGACGTCACTGCCGTCCTCGTGCAGGTAGTGCTCATCGAAACCCGCGATCCTGTCCTGGATGTCCAAGGATCCTCGCGTGATGGCACACGTGCCTCCTCGAGTGCCTTCTCCTTCTCCTGGCCGTGCCTTGGTCCAGTAG